TATTTGAATTTTCTACTACATTTTTTAAAGCAAATCAAATTCAATACTGCCTTTTATATCAATGGTTATATTATGGGTGGGATGTAGGAACAGATATGAATTTTATGAATTTTTTATATCTCTATATTATTTACTTCAAATGTTTAGGAAATTGTGTTCTTCTGAAAACCGATTTTTCAATTTTACTCGCTTTAAATTATTTATATGTGTAATATTGAAATATTAATTTAGAACTAAGTATGTATTTGGCTATAATTTTTTTGTTTTTTGTAAATCAACTTTAAAATATTTTTTGTAATGAAAAATAATGCCAAAATATGTTTGCTTCGCCTGGTTCCTCAGTCAAATCCTGACCTAATTTAAGAATTTAAGAGACCTAAACTTACTTAAATAAATAATTGAATTAATTGAAATAAAAGTGCAATATTTTCAATCGAGTCGATTTCATTGATTGCTTTGAGAATACATTAGAATATATGTTTAAAATAAATTGATCTCCTAAAATATATAGACTTTAATTGTTTACAATTCAATCAGAGAACACACCATTTATCATTCAATTTTCAAACCCAAAGTGCATCAAATATTGTTAGATTTGTATAAAGTTGGAAAACAAAGGTGCGTAACTGCAAGCAGTGGCATTTTATTATTTATAAGTTTCGATTAGTTTTAGAAATTCTCAAGTCGAAAGCAATAGAAACTTTGTCCATATTCACGTAATTAAGTTCAAATATAAGAAATCTGATGGAATCGCATGGTAAGGTTTAGCACACACACACACGTATTTGCAACTTCGTTCTGAAAATGTTTATTGTCTCATTGTATTTCGCCAATGCCATGAAAACTTTTATCTATCGCTTTAGAGATATTTACATGACTTATGTTTACAAGATCGATAAGAGCAACCCGTAGTTACTATCAAATGAAAAGCAACGAGATTTCATAATATCTATATATACCAATGTGATTAGAAAAGAGGATCCTCTCAAACTATATGAATTGGTTCATCAAATAATAGGTATTTATGTTTTATTGTGTTACCAAACATTAGGGTATTTTAGTTTGCATAAGCATCGAAGCCGAAATCAGTACACATTACCGATGAGTCAACGATGACCATATAGGTGTATTTTAAAAAAAACGCCTGGGTTTTTCCTCGTCCAAACTTGATAAACGATTTGTTCTTTACATTTTATATATATACCAAATTATACTGAAAAGGTTCAAGACGAACAAGTAAGTTGTAATTAACACTGAATGCAAACTTAGTTTTATCCCAGATCATTGACCATGACCTTGATTGGGATTGATACAACCGGTCAACTTTTGGGCATAATTTACCACACTACTATAATGAGCAAAAGATATTAGCCTACGATTGTTCCTTACTGAAGCTATCATATTATAGAATCGGAATTTAACCAACACCATCCGATGGAAGTTAAAAATTGTGCCACATGGATATTCTGGCAAAAGAAAACATTGTTTTTCCTTAGTACAAGCAGGTCAACAAAAAAATCCTTGAAATAATTTTTTTTTTTATACTTTGTTGTAATGTGGTTTGCTGTAATTTTATGGCTATCGCCCATTTGCAAATCATGTATTGCCACTTACTGTAAGTCGTAATTTCGTATATGAAACATTTGAGCATTTCTTGAACTACGTGTTTATATTTTTCAATCTTTGTTTTTATATTTTTTGTATGTTTATGCCTTGAAAGTTTTCTTATTTGTGCTATCAAATTTGTAGTGTTCGGAATTGTTTGACATGACTGAAATTCAAATTCGAATCTGATATTTCATTTGTTTTTTAACGTTTGTGCATTCAAATTTTAAACTGACATAGTACAACGCATCATTCAATTAGTTAACTTATTTTAGTAAAATTAGAACTGACTGCCGGCTTATCTGTAATAGCCATTTAAAAAATAACTTGCGAAATTGCAAATCTATTTTACACAACTTTAATAAATTAGCAGAAACGTTATTCAATGAAAGCTCAAGTTATTTGTTTCAAATTATGCGCAATAAACATATTCATGGCGTACATACACATGTTAGCAACTAAGTATTTTTGGAACTTTTAATCGTCAGCGAACGTAAAAATCGCTTTGTAACGATTTCGTATTCCAAATACGTGAGAACTATTTATATATGTCATTATGATTGCTATGCAATACTTCCAACAAATAAAAGCAACGAAACTTCATAACTTCTGTATATATAACAATATGATCAGCAAAGCAAAACCGGTCTAATGATCTACTTTTGATTAAACACATTACTCGCGATTTAATGTGATTTCAAACAAATATCCGACTAATTTAGGGCGTCATTTACGCTTACTGAAACTAAATAAGTTTCAAACTACGTTCGGTTGCAATTGTCAAGCCAATATTTATAAATATTACCGAAACAACCCCAGAAACAAACATACGTAAAGGGCTTGTATTTATATCGATATATGCAAAAGTTTCAAATTAATTTTCAAGCATACATATTTTTCAAATTTATTTTAGTAGAAGATATCCGACACAATGATACTTACAAGTTATTAGTAAATATATTATGAAGAGGAATACCTCTAATCAACAGTTCGGGTTTCTTACATTTTTTAGTTGTTAATCGGAAATATGCGATAATTTGGCACGTAAATCAAGATGTTTTACCTCGAGTCCCGAATGAAGAAGTTGGAAGTAAAAAAAACAAACAATCGTGCTTACTTGATTGCATAGTGATAGAAATTCAAAAACTTGTTTACAAAGTAATGCAGCAAACATTCTTTTAAATTAACAAAGTCTGGTGATATATATACTAAATATCTTTTAATGTAGAAAAAAATGAAGATTTTATATATCTCTTTCAGTGTTGTGGTGGTTTCCCTGAATATGATCAAAGTATCCGATAAAATAGATCACAGACTTTTTATGTAAAATCCCAGTTTCGTGGAAATAAAACACATTTCGAAAGTGTATATAGAAATAGATTTGCGGAAGTAACGGGACAAATGCAAACAGCGTGGGCGATGGGAATATCCGACGCCATTTTGCAATTCGATGATAAATTATACATACTGCATAACTTGACCAAGATGGCAAAGGATTAAAACAATCAATTATACCTACAAAATGAAACTTTAAGGTATACTTATAAAGGGTTTATTTAGGCGTTAAAACACAAACATATCATTGCGTAACGATGCCGCAGAGAAACCGCCAAACTAAGTTCAAGGTTTGAGTATGGACGAATTATAATAGCGCTTCTGATTCTATTAACAATTTTTAAATTGTGAGCACGAACTTTTTCAATAATTTTGCTGATCCGAGATTTCCATTTTTCAAAATATTCCCCATTCAACAAAAATTCCAATCTTTATCGAAACCGTATTTATTCTTTTCAACGCTTATGTCATTTCTTCAGTTGACGTTCAGTTGGAATTTACCATTTTGCTACGCGAAACTAGCCGAGGAAAAACAATACAGCGATATTTTATATAAAAAATAATAATACGATTTCAATCTATTTTAATTTATATCCGTCCATGTCAGAAAACATTACATGCCACGTAAGGTCTATATTGCCTAACAATATAATGTATCACATTGCATTATTTGCCTAACGCAAAATGAAAACCTCAACGTATACCAAGAAAAAACAAAAAAAAACTTTAAAGAAAAATACTTAAAAGAGAACAGAGAGCTTTAATCTTTCCTAGATAGAAACCTGACGAAGTTATCCACACATTATCCTGCCATCTTTACTCTCAATAATTCCCATGCTTTGTTAATAAGATCATACTCTAAATATGGATAAGTAAACCTTGAGAAACATGTATAAGAACGTTGGATTCACTGAAAGTTTCAATTACCCAACTACAAAGAATCGTTGAAATTGTATGTCTTTTTATATAATTATAGTTTTTCAGAGGTTTAATATATTGTCATTCAAAAATTTAGAAAGCGAAAGATGGTGACGCTCGAACCGGTATGTAATACTTACAATTTTCAAGTTATAAATTGATTTGTCCTGGTATTTTTACAACAATCAATTTATATAATTTAGTTTCTACTCATCTACTCATGTCCTTGCTAATTTTGGTACAAAGTTTGATTGCAAAAGCAACCGGGTTTAGATTTGAGTGAGTACTTTCTATGAGCAATGGAAATGTGAGAATTGAGGTAGTTTAGGAGAAATAAAAATCCTTCGAAATTGTAAAAGCTAAACTCAGCTCAATATGAAGATTTTTCTAGAAATAGCTTTGACTATTTGCTCATTAAGGTTTTAATAAATAAAACAAACAAATGCAAATCAACATTGAAATGCATATTTATTTTTTTTGCAGCTCAAAAGAAGCACGGGACCAAAACTGCAAAGCAGTTAACGGAAGTGAGATGCCAGTGGATATAGACGGTTTCGAGTCATATCATCCGGCCAAAGTTCACTGCAGCAACGCCGAACTTCTTTCATCATTTACCTCCACAACAGTCATCTGTTTAGCGATGTCGAGATCCAATCACAAACGAAGTATTTTTGAAAGAAGAGAGATACCAGTGGATTTAGACGGTTTCGAGCCATATCATTCGGCCAAAGTTGATTGCAGCAACGCCGAACAATTTTGCACCTCATTTCTTGGTTTAATCTCGATGTCATTGATTGGTTGATGAAAAATGCAAACAATAACTGAATTTTATTACTTACCCATACTATTTTTTCCGGAAATTATAAACTTTCTATGACGAGTACCTGAAAAGCAAATCAAAAGTGTATACTTACTTTGAGACACCCTGGATAGGAAAATAAGAGATGGTGGCTTTTAAATCGGTATGTATTCCTTATAACTGCTTAGTTTTAAATTGATCTGTCATGAAAGTTTTTTAACACAATCATTTTATGTATTTAAGATTCAAGATCATTCACTTGTCTATTGCCATGGCTTTGATAAAATCCTGCATAGTAATCTAACATATTTCAGTCTAACACGGCCTATACCTGTTGTGCGAAGTTACCCAACTTACATGGTTCCAAGCCACCTAGTGTTTACTCGAAATCACAATTACACACGAGTTTTGGTTCTTTTTCGCTGTGGGCATCCAAGATGGTGAGTGTTATGCGTCGTCTTACATGGTGAAAATGATCAAATCTTTATCTCATGTTTTGTTTATAGATTGCTTTCATATTTATAGTAGGTCTCGTACATCATGTACACTACTGTATGATACCATATAATGGGTAGTGTTGTACCAGTAGTATAGTATATAGTCGCATAGATCTGTATGTAGATACTCAACGCAAAATGTCAGAACGTGGCAGAAATGTTTTAGATATTTCCCTAGACCTGTGAATCATCCCATACCATATTGAAGTTTTAAAAAGTTAAGCGTTCTGATTATGTCCGAACCCGATAACAGTGCAATACAACAGGCAGTGTGTTTCTTTGAATCAGTGTCAACCCAATTCCAGCATTCAGCCAAAGATTTGCACAAAGATTTTGCCTAAAATTGAGTTCTTTTTTAACAGGTTTACAAAAAGTTTGTTCACATCGGTGGGGTGGTATTCATAGTACTCGGACCACATTCAGGAAAACTTGCAACTGTTGTTAATGTTGTAGATCAAAACAGGGTTTGTATACTATTTTTTAATCTATATGAATTTGAAGCATTAAATATTTTTGTTCATTAACAGTTAGGATATGAATGTTAAGACATAGCCTACTGGTAATAATATGAAAGTTTATTTCAGCAAACACAATTCAACAAGTGGACTTCTCACTTAATTTCTTGGTAATATCGTTCCACAAAGCAATGCAATGTGGCGCATCGTGCAAAGCGTTGGAATAAGCTCGCCGCCACACCTGTGATTACCCTACGTGGTTTCGCAGGTTCAAATCCCAGCGCCGATATTTATGTGCGAGAGGATCGCTTGACTTGTGCCACTGTAATGTGGTTCACATAATTTCTAGTTAATTAAAACTTTTTTTTTTATAGCTTCTGGTTGATGGACCATGCAGTGATGTCCCAAGAGTTATTGTTAACTTGAAGCAATGTCATCTAACCAAGTTCTCAATTCCTATTGCTGTCGGAGCCAGAACTGGTGTCGTCAAAAGGAGATGGGAAAAAGAAAGCATCAATGAAAAATGGGCCGAAACTGCATGGGCAAAGAAGATACAGGCTAAAGCTGTGGTGAGATTATGAATCATTTTTCTGATGCACATCTTCATCGGCAAAGCTTTCCGTGTTTCGCACATTCTAAGTGATATTATATCATCTCACTCTATTCAGCTTTTTATGAATTGATATTTATGCGGTCTTTAATCAAAATGTGATAGTTTGAAACATTTGTTTTTAATCAAACTTGAGTGCTTTATAATTCCATATCCAATATGAAAATTTAACTGAGACAGGCGGAAGCATTCAGCCTCGAAGTACTTGTGCAAACTTGAGATGTATTGCTTTTGCTGATGAATTCAATTGTCCTTGTCCACCTCTAATAACTCATTGATTGATTGTATCAATGTTGGATTCGCTAGTGGACTAAATTGATCTTGTGACTAGCATGCCGCCGTATCTTTTATCATTGTATATGGCTTTATTACAGTTACATACATTTGCATTAATGAATTGTGAGAGTCTCTGTGAGAATAATACATCTGAATTGGGAGTCTGCCATATCAGCAAATTATGATAGTACAAATTGCTTGTTTATATGTTGTCTTGGTTAACAGAAAAATTGCCAGAATAATATTATATATATTCTGTCATAGCTAAACGAACTACTTTTTTTAGAGGAAGAATCTTACAGACTTTGACAGATTCAAGTTGATGAAGCTGAAAAGGAAGGTGATGTATATGTATTGTTCTTCGAAGCAAAGCATACTGTAATCCTGCATTGGCAATCTAAATAACAATCCACGATCATCAGTTCAAAAACTATGCCCAGTAGCAAGAATTTTGACTGCCTCATTTCTGGGGTCCAATTAAATAAACCATAGGAGGGGGGGTAGCCTTTCTTCCTTTTTATTGGCCTATATGTAGAAACGATGTTGCTTCGTCGCGCCAGTGGTCCTAACATAATAGTTAACCTTGTGATAATGAAATATTTCTTTAAGATTTCATATATTGAACAAATTATTTACTCTTGCAGAGAAACCTGATCATCAACGCTGAATTGAAGAAGATGGGAAGGCAGGCTAAAAAAAATTAGGAGGGAATAAATATATTGACATGAAATGATTGTTGCAGTTTCTAACACTTGGGGGATAGGGGGAAAAGAAAATATAAGGCAGTGGTGGAAAGTAAATGATTATCCTAACCATGATTGTGGTGAAGGATTAGCAAGCTCTAGCTAGTGTTTTTCTTCATGCCAGCATGCCTCCGTTGGTTTTCTCTAGTATTTGAAATATATCTAGAGATTGACCCAGTCCTATGCCACATGAGCCTTGCAAACCCAGAGGGTTTGATGGTGAAATGCAATCGTCCAGGTGTTGCTTTCTGATGACTTTATCAATCTCAACAGAGCTGAAGAATGCAACCCCCAATGGCAAATCATTCATTCCTAGTTTATATGCGAACATTGATCTTGTGAGGAGGTTGGATATTTGCAAGGCGAGAGCAACCCTGTACCTGAAAAGGATATATACAAGGAATGTTGAGCTAGGGATCATTCTTTCAGTGTGGATTTGATGGTCATGGTGTTCTTTGCAATGATCATATTTCTGAATTCGGAAATTACCATAACTGAGAATATGTAAAATTAATCAGTTTTCTAACTGGAGTTCTGTGGTCTTCGTGGCTACTTTATTGATTGTGTTTCAACAATGGGACAATTTTTGCCCGATAAATGGAAATTAAATTTGCTTCAATTTTAAAATATGCTATCAAAGAATGCACTGGTCAATCACACTCACTTGTCCTTTTCTGCACACAAGTATCGGAGTTCATCATGAATACTGATAGAAAATCTTGCTTTGATATTGAATTTATCAATCAGCCATCTCATACAAACAATAAGAAGATGCATATAGTCCACGGCCGAACTTTGCACCACCCAATTCATTCTTGAGGGGAGAAAATTTTCCTTAATGTTTTGAAAGAAAAAATACACTACGTTTACAAAAATTGTCGCATTTTGTTGTTACAAGTGCATTGGATATTTAAAACATACTATATGATACTAACCCACACTTTTGAAGGTTCTAATGCTGTGCTTATTCTTGCTCCAAGCACTGGAGTAGATGGACACATATTTTTTGCAATCTTTTCAATGCGGTTAAACATTTCAGACTCCATTCCACCATCCCAAACCCGTCCTACAATCAGGCCCTGAGCATTCATTCCCATCATCCCTCCAAAGGCAACTTTGGCAGCACTTTCCAAAGTCTTGACATCCGCGTAAGAAACAAGGCCCCCTCTGGATGCCATAGGATTGATTTTTGTTTTGAGTTTGTTGGCGTAATACCTTCCGTCCATGCTTAGGAGATACTTACGTTCACCCTTGGTCATGCGAAAAAGTTGTGTTATTCTTTTATTTATTTCGTCAGGTGTCATATTAAAGTTGAACCTTTTCAACAAAGTCCTTGCAAGTCGTTCACCGCTACCATAAATACGAGCATAATTGAAAATTTTAGCTTGTTCTCTCGTTATACCAATTGCATCAGCGGTCTTGCTATGAAGATCAGTACCTTTAGATTTTGTACCTTGCAGAGTCATCCATGAGAATGGCGTGCACCCATGCTCTTTGGCGGAGTCCGCATCGCCTAGTAGTGATGCTATCCATAATTCTTGGGAATCAACATCTGCTCCAACAAACGTATAACCAGGAGGTGCTTGTATCATAGACTTAAGCTCGCTTCCAATTTTTTTTTCTTGCACATTGATTGCAGTGAGCCAAGTATTTTCCACTGCTCTTCTTGTTACTGTACCCATTACTGCTGTTATGGGAAGTATTGCACCAATTTCTTCACCTGTGTAGTTTGTATGGCATTTTATATTTTCTGGTATGTATTTCTCAGGTAGTTTCATGTACATTTGTGACTTGATTCTCTGCTGTGATGAGCGCCAATATGATGAAGCTTGGTTGATTTCAAGACATCTTGATGCTCCTTTCGCATCACCAGATTTCAATACACCATCATCAAGTTTTTTCAAAAAATCTTGTGCGAGTGGATTGCCTACATTATAATCTGTTCCTGATTTGTGAGGAAGTTTATAAAACAAATAACCCTCAGGCAGATTGGGAATGTGAACAGGGCGATTTGTTATAGTAACTCTTACGTGTTCAGGAATATCAGAGTCTAGCACGTCATCTAAATCAATTTCTGATGCAGTCATTTGTCCTTCCTCATCAATATTCCCTGAACCTCCACTTGGAACAAGAAATCCCCATCCGGTACTTTTATCGTGGTGCAAGCAATAGCCATACCACGTCATTCGCAATAGTTTTGGTGTAACTTTAGTCAAGGTAGACAACTTCACAGGTCCGGGTTCCCAGTCTTCATCATTTTCTTTCATGCATAACTCAGTGTACCACTTTGGATAACCTGGTAGGTGAGGCTTAACTTTTGGCAGTGAAGCAGCCGTATTTAAAATTGACTCCATCATAGAGCTGGGTTTGTAAGATGACTTTGTTTCTAAGATATCAAGACACGATTTTTCAGTTTCTGTATAGTTGGGTTGTTCTAGTACTTTTTCATCAGTACTATTTTTAAAGTTTGATGGTTGCTCCCATCCTTTTCTTGGCTGTTTCAAAAGTTTGTAAGATTTGGTATCCCAATCCAAATCCCAAAGCCATGGATCTGATTTGTACTTTTCATCATGTAATGATGAGCATGCTTCATTGGCAATATCTACTAATAGAGATTTAAGTTCTTTATTTAAGTCAGCATATGTGGTTTGAGCGGCTCTGACATACCTCTGCCAGTTTTTATTTGTAGGTAGGTACATGTTCCCCATTTGCAACACAGCAGACATAGTAACAGGATGTGGGAATCTTTTAACAAAGTTTGGAAACACTTTTTTCAGGACATTATGTGTTGCTGTAACATCATTTGAACAATATTCCATCAACTCATTGAATTTATCACGAACTTCTGCCATAGAGCCTTCCACAAAAACATCTCTTGATAATTTTGATATGGGAGTTCCACAGTAAAATTGATGAACATCACTCAAATTATTCATTGTACCAGCATCTAACCACGATGCCTTATCTGTGCTATTATTATCTTGCGTGCTATTTTTTCTGGCTGATGCATATAACATTCTTTGACCGTTTGTAAAACCACTAATGGCAGTATGCATGCTCATTGTGTCAACAAACATAACATCATCTTCTTCAAGAAAGTATTGCTCTTTAATTCGAGCACGATCATAGCTCACATTATGACCTACAATAATTCGTGATTGTTCCTTAGTGGAATTCGATCTCGCCTTTGATTGCATTGGTATCAAATCTTCGATGCTCCCATTTGATTGGTCACTGGTAAATATGCGCTGAGTGCACCAAGAATACCAATGATCTTTCGAAGCTGCAACCGCCATTACTGGCATCTGTCCCTCAGTTACCAAAACTTCACAATCAAAAATTAAAGACACTTCATCAGGAAATTTGACTGAAACGCTCTTACCATTTTTCAAATACTTCGTCCAGCCAGCATCGCTTGACCATTTTATAGGTTTAGATGGAAGTGAACAGTTGGTCAAGTCTAGAATAGATTTTACATAACCTCCGCATTGTTCTGTTGCGATATTTCTGTAATGCTCATCAATATTGTCTCCAATTAATGATGGGAAGTCAAATGAAACATTAGGAAGAATTTCAGTGTTTTTGCCCCAAAGATTAAAATGTTTTAGTTTTTTAATGCAAGCTTCCTTCTTTTCTAGTAAAGCTTCGTTTGGCACAATTTCTTCGTTCTTGAATATTTGACGATGTAGCTTCTTGGGGAGCATCTGAATTTTCATGGCGTTAACTCGAGTTGCATTTTCATCATTGTAGTCAAGTTCCGTTTTCGCTGACCCAAGTGTAACCGATCTGACATAACTCTTGTTGATTTCACAGGTAATATATAATGTTTTACTAACACATCGCGCAGTATGACGCCCTTTATTTAGCATGATACGACACCCACTCAGCAGTTAATACTGTAATAACTTGAAAAATAGCCGAACATTAGACAGAAAATGGCATAATTAAAGCGTGGGGAAGCGCAAAGTCCATCTCGGAAGTCTCGTGCATATAAATCAAGGGACTTCCCCCGATCGAACATGCCCACAAAACGCCCTTCGGAAAATGAATGCTTCCCGAACTTTGACCTCAGTAAAATTTCTTCACTTGAGATAGGATAGGATTTACATATTTATCCCGGGTGAGAGGAAAGCCGATAAGACGGCTTATCCATATGGCGAACCACGGCCTCTCGTCCGGTTACCATTCCAAGTCGGGTATGATATTAGTTATATTGTTTGTTTTCGGAAGCATGGACTTGGTGGTGGAGGAAGCCGTAACCGACCAGCGGTTACGTGAACCACCCAACGACGGCGAGGAGTCCAGCAATCCTCTCGCACATAACCATCCCTGCATGGGATTCGAACCTGCGAACCCACGCAGAGTAATTAGAGGTGCGGTGGCGAGCCGTATTCCTAACGCTTATCCCGTTGAGTCACACCGCCGCGCCGACTTACCCCACATGGTCCGGATTTTGAAATTAGTGTAAATAGGTGAGCTACGGTAATTAATTTAGATTAATTCGATATTCCATGACTTAATTTATTCTTCAGAAATTTGGCTCAGGGGTGTAGCGCATCGTGCTAAGTGTCGCACCTCTGATTACTCTGCGTGGTTTCGCAGGTTCAAATTCCATGCGGGGTTAATTATGTGCGAGAGGATTGCTGGATTCCTAAGCTAGTCGGTTACGGCTTCCTACATCATCAATTCCATGCATCTAGAAACAAACAAGCGAGCTATGCTCAAACATTCGCACATGCCACATAATTGCAAATTTTGATGCCATCATAGCACACAAAAAACGACAAATAAAAATAATAGCGAAACTAATAACTCCTAGCGAAAACTAATATCTTTACTCACTGAAAATTTTAAAGCAATTGGTCCAGTATTCGAAGAGAAAAGCGACTTCATTATGATGACGGAAAATAACAAGATATTGAATCGTTATGTCCACTGACCGATCAAACCCCTCCTCCCCCATACTCGACATGGACTGGTAACCCCGCCATATGATTAATCAGTCTCATCGGCTTTCGTCTCCCTCCGGGATAAATATATAAATCCTAACTAGAACAATTGTTATCACATTTGTCAGAGATTCGCACTTCCTGAGATTTAGTACAAGGAGTGTTGATGACCTTGTATTATGTACTGCATCCCTCATGTGAACATTCATATCGGAGCAATTGCCACTAATGTTCCAATTCACGTCATGAAACCTGCCTCTTTCAATGAAAAAGTCTCCCGAAACTACAGAATATTACATGGTTCAGAAATAATCTGAATTGTTTTAGGTCTTTTTAGTTCATTTCAAAGAACATAGAATTACTCTAACATTTCTCCCCGTAGCATGAACGACATACTGCGGTGACATCGAAAGAAGAAATCAATTTTCTTATGTATTTTCACTGATAGCCCAATACCAGTACATTTATAAGTGGGGAAATTCATTTAGCAGAAATAAATCACAGGTCCCAAAAACAATTCATTCCGATTGTTCATATAATATAATTAAATACTGCATAATATCTTGAGTGCATAGTGCAAAAGAAAAAGCTAACAAAAGTTTGAATGAAATGTTTGAACTGATGGTGCTGCCTAGTAAAAACAATCAGGGCCGGATATAAAAATCTTGGTATTCCATTACAGCTCTCGTCTCCATATGATTACTAAACCTTCTGCATCACATGAGGCAAGAAGGCTTTCATCATAATTAAATGAAACATCTAAAACAGGAGCAGAATGTCCTTGTAGTCGATTGACGCAAGATTTTGTTGACTTCTCCACATCAAAGAAGCAGACTGTCATATCTTCATTGCCAGTTATAACACAAGCTCCCTGGCGGAATGACATGAGAGGACAGAAAACACTACGGATTCTGTGATTTCTATGCCTAATGGTAAAAGTTTTTCTTAGCTGGACTAATCCCTTGTTATCAGTGACCCTGAAAATAAAAACACCAAAGAATGTTACATGCCTACAGACACCGTTTTAAGAGAATTCCTACCACTACCAGGGCTATGAAATCCAAGTTATAACTTTGAATTCTTCAGAGTGGTAATTTCAGACTTTCAAAGAAATAAATTGACTTGGTATTCTCAACAATTTAAGAATGCCTGCCTACGGCGAAGCTGCTTTTATCAAAATTTAGTTTCATCACATGGTCCAGCAGAGCTCAAGTCAAAGTGTTAGAGGCCGGAGTAAAAAGATTTGTCAACCAGAAGTTAGGTTTTTTTTTAACTGCTTGGATTAGGAAGTCCGCTAAAAATGTTACCCCGACTTCTACACCTCTTGTTTAAATAAATGCAAACTTGGAAAAGAAAAAAAATCAAGGATGAATCCCTCAGCCCAACAGTTTAACAGAATACAATTACTAAGCAAATTTGACATCCTTGTGCATAAATGTGAGATTCCAATTTCTATCATTTCATTGATAATTGTAAATATTACCTGAATAGACACAATGTGTTTACAGCTATATTCACAAGTACAGATGGATCTCTTGCTTCTCTGCTGATCCATGATCTTGCTTGGATACTTGTAATCGGGGTTTCTGCTCGCAGACTCACTTTGTGACCTTTGCGCAATCTACTTGTAGCAAGGTCAAATGTGAATGAATGCAATGTTCCCCGACTATCACCCGCCCATAAAATGTTTCCTGTTGAATCGAATGCGATACTAATCACTGGAGCACCTAGTTTCCCAGTTCCTCCCTGAGAAAAAATATGATCATTATGTTAAAAATTCGGGGCTTTAGAAGTGTGTGTACCAATATGGAGGTAATTAATTTGGTTCGCCTACTTCACATCAAATTGTGTAAAGGGACCGAAACCTCTGTGCAGGGTGTATATTCACTTGGGTAACACAGACAGTCCCTGAACTCGTAATAGAACTATAATAAAGAAAATCAGAATAAAATAAAGGCTTGTGCGTGGTCTGTGGCAGGCAAGGCATATAAAAATCCATATCAAGCAATCCAGAACTTTTGCCATTTTAAACTTTTCTCAAGGTTTTATATTATCGAATCAATACCATCATAAATTTGTACTGCTTATAACAGATAGTGAGATATTATTATGCAAAATAATATCACAATCATACAAAAGTCACTAAAATTGGATACCTTTGTAACTTTTCCCGTTGAAATGTTATATACATTAACGAGGCATGTCCCATCTCCAGCTACCACTAGATTATTATTCATGGGTTGAAAAGCACAACAGTTAATTGGTGCAGTTCGAATTTCTGCTACAACTCTGAAACATAACATGATATCACAACATAGCACATGAGGACATTTACATATAAAATGAACCGTAGGATAAAACATTAATTTACGGTATATAGTGATAAAAATCAGATTTATTTTTTCTATTGTTGATTGAAATAGCCAATCATTCATATGTAGCAAAATCCAATGTAAAACCAATATTTTCAGCAATGAACATTCACCGAATACATCGACCGGAAGAAGTATCCCATAATCTCAATGTTGTGTCTTTTGATGCTGTGACAATCAAGTCATTAGAAAGGGACCAGGCAAAATCTGAAAAAAAATATTGCAAATATATTAACACCATGTTTCTTCAGGTAATATCGGCAATATTTTTACCAAGCTAAAAAACATTTAACAGGTACAACCCATATATGACTAGAGATCAGTAATGAACGATGTAACTTACTTGCATGCATAGATTAATTCAAAAACAAATTCTACCTGTTATTTCAGAAGTATGACCTTTTAAAGTGACTTCAACTTCTGGTTTCGGTTGTAGATGGCACACACTCAACATTCCATCAGCAGATGCAAATGCAATCCTGTTTTTATCGTCGTTTGCAAATTTGATTGTGGTAACTGCAAAATTACATTAAATTATTACTTATACGGACAAATGACATGCAATCACAGCAACATTCCAATGATAATACCTGGTGATCCAAGGTGACAGTCAAATATATGGTGAACTCCAGCAAATGCATAATTTTCAGCAATACTTTTACCACCAACCAAAGCCCTGAATATAAAAATAGCAAATAAATATAACCAGACATAATATGTTAAAAAAAATTCAAATTGCCGAAACAAAATAATTGTTGAACAGTGTATTTGATTTTGATGCATATGTGGATCGCAGGGATCGCCAAAACCGAAGAATTCACTATTTCGAATACATTCTAAAATAATATTTTCAAATATGAAATATCGAATATATTCTGACATGGATATGTTCCACAAGAGAAAGTCTTCAAGACAATTGTAAATTCATTAAAAAACAAAATATATACATGCTTATAATTGGGATGAATATTGTCTTAATTAGTATTCCCTATTATACTTTGTCAGTGTTTACTAATTTTTTGTCAATCATACAATAAAAAATGCTTAATAATTATGGTAGGCTATTCTGAATTAGCCTATTCCTGAAATCAAAATTTGCTATGATATGGAATATAACCAATTTTGAATGTATTTGAACATATTTTGGACATCCCTGTGTGATTCAGCAGAAAAAAATAATGAACAGAAACAAAATGTGGTCACAGAAATGCCCCTATGTGAAAACCCCGTGGCGATGAGGAGCCCAGTAATCATCCCATATCTATGGAATCAGAAGTAAAAATGATACAGTGAAATGGTTCGACCATCAAGAATGATGTGCAATGCCCATTGTTCAAACACAATTTATATTCCCAACACCATATTTCCGTAACTTCCTCATCAATCAGCTTAATAACACACAAATTCAGTACAAGTCAGGCAAAATCATAATAAAAGGCTACAAATTTCTGAAACATTGATAAGTAGCTTCCACAAGCATAAAAAAGATCAATGTATTGCCCATCAGATGGAAGTTATACTGTTTTAACATATAGCAATATATCAAGTTCAATATACCTGCTTGCTTCTGCCTGTTGTGTGGGGACAACTATACTCGACTTTTCAGGATTTATTCTCGAGTTGATCTCATTCTTATCTTCAGTTGACTACAGAAAAAATGTATTTGCTGTTATTTACCATACGCTTACACTATTAGTAAAATTATGATACGAGTTTACAAGTTGATAAAACTGTGGACTGTGGAGTATGATTAGGTATATGGATACAGAGGGTGGTCACTAGAAAAGCTGAAAATTTGAAGGTCAGATGAGATCACGAAAAAAATGAATGCCTAGTGATTTCTTTTTCGAAATTTTTTTTATCTCTAAGTTGTGTCAGGTTGATACCTTTTTGGTTTCGTTAGACATTTTGAGCATCTATGAGTGTAATACACCATGAGTCTTTAAAAAACTTTGTACGATATTTCTTTGTAAAAAAAAAACTGTTTGACAAATTTTCTGTTTTTCTAGCCACCCCTTGGTAAATTTTTCTTTATTGCATATCTGTTATGTCATTATTCTCATTAAATTTTTTTCAGTGATAAAGTATAATGAGGTTAAGTAAAAAGTACTTACACTGTCAATTCTGTCTAATGTAGTAATGCTTCCACGTATACTCGCACTTCGTAGACTGCTGCAATTAAAAATGGATCATACTCAGACAAAGTAACAAATATTATTTTTATAAAAAGCATATAAGTTTTCACTCATATAAGTTTAATAAATGGCACTTTGAGAAATTCTCATTTTTTGAGTGCCTAACAATCTCAATTTAATTGCAACAGAAGGATTGTACCTTGCTTCGGATACTGGACCATACTTCTGAGCCAAAAGCTTTGATCGGATTTTGAGATATTGTTTTCGGGCATTTGGATCACCCTAGTAAAATAAGATAATAATATTAATATTACAAAATAAAATATGATAATGTTAATACAACATATCAAGAAGCCTACAACTCTCACTCATAATAAGCAGTACATGATAAAATAAATACTCGAAATTGATGGGAATGTAATTTTAGCAAAATTGTACAGGTTCAAATTTGTTATAATCATTTTGAGTGAACTTTTTTGATTTAAATTAAAAACAGCATTATAGTTCACCAGTTAGTATTGAACAAGTTTCTAAATTGTTTGTAAGTATCTATAACAATTTACACTCTATTATAAAGTTCAGCAGTTTACCAATCATTTAACTCAAACGTAAGATTGGAAACACGGCACTGAAACTCCATTAAAATATAGAGTAACATAGACTTAAATTATGATTTGAGTTTTCATATTTTGATAGAATGAGGTTTTCATATTTATCTTGATGAAATATTCGAATATTGAATTAAAGCAGTAAAGACTATTTTATTAGTCTATTAAAACATCTGAACATACAGGTACTTGCTTCTTTGCATTTTCTCTGAGAAGTTGACTACGTCTTCGTAAATACTGAGTGCCTGAAATTGAAGAAAGACCTGTAGATTTCTAGGAAGGCTATACAGATTTTTGTGTAAACACAGAAATCAAATCAAATATTTCATTCACTTTTTGATTAAATTTGCAGATCATAGTTCAATCTTTGGGTAAGTACTAAAGCCTGCTACCTTCGATAATATCAACAAACAGATTCTACTTTTCTAATCATAACATTACATTGGATTCTGCTGAAATTATCACCTGTTCAACTCAAAATTCCACGGAAAATCAATACTGCAATATGAATACTGAAGTTCAAATCAAATTCTGGCTGCTGTTACATTCCTCCAGGCCAACCAAAAAGCGCTCATGGAACGCTCAGATGAACTGTCTGCCACTGAAGACCATGGCATGGTCTGAAGCTGTGAAGTAGTTCCAGCATGATGTGGCAAATCTCCCTCAAGATCGAGGAGATTATAAAAAGACTGGAGCTATATGAAAAACAGCAAGATGATCAAGAACAGTACAGCCAGAGGAACTGTGTTGTCCTTCATGGCTGTAATTCGGTCCCAGAGTCTGAGTACTATAAGTTTGAAGACTTTGTTGTTAACACCCTGAACAATAACTTCAATCTTGAACAGCCGATTGTTAATACGGATATTAAATAACCCATAAATTGTGATCCAAGTCTCCGAAGAAACCCATCATTATGAAATTTGTCCAGGATCGACAAAAAATTTAATATATGGTAGGAAGAAAGATCTGAAAGGCATCGGATTGTCCATTACTGAGTCCTTGAAACAGAATAAGCTCAAGCTTCTCGCCGCTTCCAAGGAAGCCTTCGGGAAGCAAAAGGTGTCGACAATGAATGGGACTATATACGCTTACCTGGACAGAAGGCGAGTAATATCTTGTTTAAATGATATCACTACTCTCTCTCGTCCCCTGTACTCTAGGGCTGCTGCTCACCCAATGGGGCATAGCAAATAGGCACACTGTTTGCACCTTGGTCCCATTGGTATAGTATTTTATGGTATTGGTATAGGTATAATGTTTTCCACTCGCATCAATTTGGTTTCCGCAAGCAACACTCCACTGCTATGGCTGCTAATGTTTTGGTACACAAACTAACCATGTTGAGATTGACAAAAGAGTTGAGGGAAGACAGGGGCATGACAAACCTGAATCTTTGACGAAGGAATTCAAAATTTTGGAAGCACCCCAGGAAGTTTCAAAGCCAGAACCCATAAAACCGCAGGGTCCTGTATTCAAATTGAAGAACAGAATGCATATCGCTCAGATCAGACAGGAAAACAAAGAAAATTTTGAAAAAGAACAAGCTAAGGAAAAGGCAAAGAACGAGCTAAGGAAAAGACGTTGGCTGAGAAGGAAAAGCATGCAACAACTTCCATGAAAACCAACGGTAACAGCAAAGAAAAGTATTGAAAAGAAATGTGAAGTGAAACCATTCTCATTTGATTCAAGAGATAATGGAAGATTTGCTAAAAAGGAAGAAAAGATAAAACAAATTTTATAATCCGAAAAAGCGAATGCAAGTTCATTTCGTGCTACTCCCATATGTCAAACAATTGACCCAGTAAAACACTGCCATCTAAAAATGTCAAACCACGTACTGAACCAAAACCTTTCCATATGTATTATGATGAGAGAGGAGCATTAAGGGCAGAAAAATTGTAAAAGGAGGTAAAGGAGTGAAAGCATTGAGAGAAAAGACTGAACTTAAAGCAACTACCAATTATTCTAAAGTACTTCAGGGAAAACCATTCAAGCCAGTTATCAACAAGAAATACACAAAACTGTACCAGATGGAGCCGAAAAGATTTTCCAAACCTGGACAAAAATGTTGAATGAACCATTGAATCTGCGTGAAATGACTACAAATGTCTGAATGTTGGAGTTCTCAAGCGAAATACGAACAAATGGTCAGAACAATGAAGAACCCTGTAACAGTAGCAAACCAACACATAATTCTATTCAATGTAGAGAAAGTCCTCAAATCATCTGAAATCTATGAAAACTTTTATTGTTAGTTTTTATGTGCAACAATTCGACTGCCTTCAAATTTTGGTATCTGTATATGCGTGTTCTAGAGTTTGTTTGTTTTGCTGTATTCAGTTTGCATTCTCTTTGATCACATGTAATTCTTACCCAAATGCGTTTATTTGGTTGAAACGTGTTTGTGTCCGACACACTATCAACTTTATAGTTATTTTTTCAACTTGTATGTGTGACTCACTTTTTTCACATGGAATGCCCGAGGAGCCTTTTACTGCTGCTCATCGAGTCTTTTTATTATTTATAAACTTATTATTTGTGTTAATTTTGGTAAACGAGCATGTGCATTGTGCGTTATAAACTTTATTCATAAGTTTTGCTCGTTTTCCGGGCATTTCTGGTATGTGTTTTGTTCGTTTTGGGTTCGAGTTTTTTTGTGTTTTCAGAATGCTGAAATGAAGTGTATTGTGTATGGGGTCAAAATAAACTTATACTTATATTTCCATGAATAGATTAAGGTTGTCATTCAGTGAGAACTGGGTAACAGCAAAACAGCAAAATTAACAATTCAATTGTGATAATTTTCAATAAATTGCCTATCTGGGCCAATTGGAATATTACTGATTATTCAAGATCATAAGTCCCATATAAAAAAATAGAAAACAAAAATTAAGTATATATATATACAAGTAGTATATTTCGACTCCATGATCAGCATAAGGATAAAATGATTGATAAACGTGCTGTGTGTTTAGGTATTTAATGTTGGATTTGTATCGCGTAATATCAGCATGATCAAAGACCATCTACCGGAATTAAAGAAGTTTATGGATAGAAGATTGGATTTAAAGTTAAATGGTGGACGATTTGTTAGGGGTGTATTGCGAGCTTTTGATCCTTTTATGAATCCTGTTGTGTGGATGATGAAATAGAGTGCAGAAAAGATGAGATCACTGCACCTGTTGAAATGGTGGTCGTTCATGGAAATTCAATTTTAATGTTGGAAGCATTGGAACACATAAAATGGTTTTAAGTTAAACTAATTGAAAACGACAAAAAACCCGATACCCTAATCCATGATTTGTACATAGACTGATATGAAACATTCAATCTAGACTATTTAACGAGCTTGTTTTTTAGTAAAAAATATTTTTGTCACTGTGTTCAGGTGTTATTTTTGCACTGAAATTGAACTACAGCATCACCATTTTACGTCAACGAGTGTTTTTTACTCCATATTTTTGTAGGAAAAGCACTGTTGTTTAACACATAGCTTACACGTCTCACATTTTGAAATTGATTAAAAGGTATTGCCCGATTTCACATCGTGTTTTTGTTTTATTGTGTTTTTTTTTCTGTTTGGTGGTTATACGTTTTTAACTTTTTTATTAAGCTATGCCCATCCTCCAGGTCCTCTGCATTTTGTTTATCGTTTGTTGTTATTTTGTTTCTTCCAGAGTGACCGAAATAAAATTGATTGATAAAAACAAATACCGGTAATTAATAACAAATTAGGATAGGATAGGATTTACATATTTATCCCGGAGGAGAGGAAAGGCGATAAGACGGCTTATCCATATGGCGAACCACGGCCTCTCGTCCAAGTCGGGTATGGGATTAGTTATATTGTTTGTTTTCAGAAGCATGGACTTGGAGGTGGAGGAAGCCGTAACCGACCAGCGGTTACGTGAACCACCCAACGACGGCGAGGAGTCCAGCAATCCTCTCGCACATAACCATCCCTGCATGGGATTCGAACCTGCGAACCCACGCAGAGTAATTAGAGGTGCGGTGGCGAGCGTATTCCTAACGCAGTAACGCTTAGCCCGTCTGCCCGTTGAGCCACACCGTATTGAATTAATGAAAAAAAATGAGAGACCAATGATTAATTATCGCTGGTCAGCACATACCATACCCACCTGTCCTACTAACCTAAATGCTGAAATAATTCCAAAAGTACGGTACCGGTAGGCTATGTGATTGTTTTGTAAAAAACTTACGGAACTGGGGATCCGATGGAGTTCTATAAGCACTGTAGCGGGCATCTTGTCCCAGCACTTGTTGCCACACAGTCACGTTCATTTTTGTCTTTTAACAAACAGCGACGAAATTACTATAGTCTAAATTGCTTCAGAAATACCGAAATGGACCTTTCCCCGAGCACGACTTCCTTATTTACTTCGTGACATTGGCCAATCAGCAAGATGCAAATGGTGACGTAACAATGCTCCTTTTTCACATCCGCTCAGACACTTTTCTCCCTCAGACAGATATTCAAGCGTGGTCGTAAACATTACCTCGTTCTCGCGTTTTTGAATTCTATCCGTTAGTTTTCAGTTGTGTTTCAGAAACATAAATGTAAATCAGATAATTCAATGAGCACTCTGTCTTCCTAGGAGTTTTAATTTAATTGCAGTAATAAAAATGAGTGTAGAAATAGCTGTGATAGACTAGGCTAAAATTCTTTACCAGTATTTTTAAAAAACAGATTGTTGTATGCGATGAATCATAATGATGGCTTGGAACACATACCCCATTTTACAGGCGCCAACTCGCAAAAACACTCTTAAAATAGCCCCGGAAATTTTGCCATGTTAAAGTATAGGAAGAATATTTCAGGGGTCAAAGGTTGGGGAAAGGTCCATAGGTTGCAAACTGTTCGAATATTATAGTATCAGGGAAAAAACATTTATCAGTGCACCTGAAGGAACCTTTCCCCGACCTTTGACCCCAAAAAATTCTTTCCCAACTAGGGGTTCCCAAACCCGTAATATATAGAGGACTTGCACGGGTCACGTGACATTGTTACTGGACGGCAATACAACAAAAACGTCCATTTGGCTCCTGTCAGTTGCAAGTCGGATTATACGTTTGCGTTTCGTTTGGCTGTTGAAAATGGTTATTTCGTTGTTCTGTTGGCTGTACGTATAGTATAGACAACGAAATGGATCTTCAGTAATATTCCACTGATTTCAAAAGATCCTGAACGTCGCGCAATGTGGATATCATCTATTGCCTATAGGCAGAACTGCTTGGTGTCAAGTCCAGAAGCCATCTTACTTGTGTTTCACTGTTTGCGGACAGCACTTCGTTGATGGTGAGTGATAGTGTGCCGTTATCAATTTCTTTAAATATTCACAAGCTCCCTCATTCAATGGAAAGCAGATGACAAATTACTGTTATCAGTGGGCCTAGTTGCAGACTTGACTTGTGTAAGACAGTAAGGAATTAATAATCAATAATCTAATAATCAACTGCTGTTATTAGTAGGCCTAGGCCTAGTTGCAGACTTGACTTGTGTAAGACAGTAAGGAATTATTCTAATAATCAACTACTGTTATTAGTAGGCCTAGGCGTGGGCCTACTTGCAGTTGCAGACTTGACTTGTGTAAGACAGTAAGGAATTAATAATCAATTGCCGTAAGGTATTGTTTCCCTAATTAGCAGGTAATCTATTACTAAGTGTGAAAGGTTGAATAGATAACTAAAGTTTAACACCAGTGGTCATGCAAAAAATAACCAGAATTCAATTGAATTCGCCATCTAGGAATACGCTCGCCACCACATCTCTGATCATCCTGGTAGTTTCACAGGTTTCAATCCCATGCGGGGATAGTTATGTGATAATGGATTGCAGCTCTACTCCCACCGAGGGTGGTTCACATGACCGCTGATCGGTTACGACCATTCCCCACCATCCAAGTCCATGCTTTTGAAAACAAATAACTGGCTCCCCCCCAGATAAATCTTATCCTAATGGTGCTTGTACAACTGATTCAAAATGTCTTTTTCTTGTCATTGGTAAAAAAGATATGCTACCCGGAATCAAATTCATTTACGACTAGTGGCTGTGGTGGGATATGGATATAAATTTCACACTCCTTGATCGTTAGATTTTATGAAAACTCTTATCTGTATCCATTATCTTACAGATATGGGTGCGACCATGGAATAGATGGATGGCAAAGTATAAGTTGCAACAAGACCACAGTAGCACAAGACCTCAGCTTGCGTGACTTGATAAATACATCCTCAGTAGGCCTATCCATTTATTGATGCTTATCGTAATGACAAAGTAACTTGTCATTACTGTGGATTGGTGGAGATAAAGTGTCCATTGTGCTTTAACGAAATCAACTTCAAGACGACCCTATCAAGAAAAAAAAATTGTTTCGGTGGGTCTGGTCGTGTAGGTTTCAGTCTAACGTTGGACACCGATACTACAACCAGATACAGTTGCCAATGAAACTTAAGCGAGGCATAATATTGCGACTTTGTGATCTGAAAGGAAATTCTGATGGGTAGCCGGCTAGCCGCAACCTTTTGTTTAAAGAATATTACGAGATACGACTTAAGAGTCTAAACTTTTATTTGAGAGGGGTGTAGCCCAAGCTAATTTGCAAATAGTATTCATGGTACCAAATGTATCACACACTTTACAGTAATTATAAATTATATTTGAAAAATAAAACAAAAATGTATTTTTAAAAAACAATTGGTTTTATCTGCAGATACTAGGTTGATATTGAGATTGACCATTTCAATGCTAAATTTTCTTTAGTCAAAAGGCACACTTGATTCGCAAAAATTTGTGAATGCGCACAGTACACCAATTTGTCTAATGTTTTGATTCCATAGGCAGGAGGTTGTGGATCGGTGCTGCTCAGGATGGGATATTTTTGCCTCTAAATGCATATTACGTGTTTCACATGAATCCATCGTGCTCAGATTCGACTGTTTTCAAGGTCTGAAGGCTCCAACAGCCTTATTTTATGGGTACACAAGAGAATTTTCAGTGTGACATGCATGGGTCAGTTGGACTCACTAACCTCAAGATATCTATAAGCAAGGATAAGATAACCTGGAAGTAACATTCCATAATTTAGAGTAAAAAATGTATCTGCCTCCACAGCCCTTTCGAATGGAAGATATGATGCCTCGGGGGTAATTTCTATCAAATATTTTACAGTATGGTTCTAGTGAAAAGGGGTGTTGGCGGCTTTTTTTTAAAGTGTGGTAGGTCTAGTCGAAAGACACATTAAATGTTTATGCTAACAACTGCGAATTAATATTGCAACGCATACAAGTTAACAGAATTTGTTGAAATGGTCCTGCCTTTTGCCTTTCTTCAAAATCCTCCTTTTTCTAACTATTCTCTTCCTCTCTGGGGATGGCGAAAATTCAAATATCGATGGGACATGTAAGCAGCTGATAATGGGTTATCTTCCCTTTTTCCTGAAAATAAATTAAACACTAATCATCATTTGACAGTGCCAAGTTTGTGTATCAGATCAGTAATAAATTACCTGCTAACTAACAAAACAATCAGACAACACCTTCTGACCATTAATGAAGATTTGTTTCAATTTAAAACGCAACTATGCCTACCAAGTTTGTAGGATAGAATTTATCTGTGGTTGGGGACAGATTGCAAGGTGCAACATCGTACGATTACCATTCTATGTCAGGATTAGTTAGCCAGTTATTTGTTTTAGAAGCATGGACTTGATGGTGGGGGATGTCGTAATCGACCAGCGGTCGTGTGAACCACCCTTAGTGGGAGGAGAGCTGCAATCCTCTCGCACATAACTATCCCCGCATGGGATTGGAACCTGTGAAACTCCCAGGGGTATCAGAGTTGCGGTGGCGAGCGTATTCTCAGAGAATTCAATTGAATTCTGGTTATTTTTTGCATTAGCACTGGCGTTAAACTTTAGTTATCTATTCAAATTTTCACACTTACTAATAGATTACCTGCTAACTAGGTAAACAATACTTTATGGCAATTATTGATTAATACCTTACACGAGTCAAGTCTGCAAGTAGGCCTACGCCTAAGCCTATCAATAACAGTAGTTTGTCATCTGCTTTTCATTGAAATGAGGGAGCTTATGAATATTTGAAAAAATTGATAACGGCACATCATGACTCACCATCAACGAAGTGCCGTCCGCAAACAGTGAAACACAAGTAAGATGGCTTCTGGACTTGACACCAAGCAGTCCTGCCAATAGATGATATCCACATTGCGCGACGTTTGTTTTATTGCCGTCCAGTAACAAGGTCACGTGACCCGTGCAAGTCCTCTATATACGCTTTGCCAAAACCAAGGGTCGCGACCATTGAGGTGTATATAACACTATACCTACAGCCAACGGAACAATAGAAGTTCCCGTAGTTACTAGATTTTTTTTGTTTTTTCTTTCTTGAACGATTGTGTACAATTAAGCCAATGTGTATTATTAGGTTTTATTTATTTTTTTGTCCTTCCTTTTCTGTATGATCGTTTCCAATTAAGTTAATGTGTAATATTGAGTGTCCTGTTTGCTTAATTTCAGCTGCAAGGTGTCGCTGACTAGATGACTCTCCGAGAGTCTTTTCGCGACCCCGCGTCAACTGCAACAAGCCGATATCTGTTTGTCATTTTGTTACATTATATTATTTATTCATTTTTCATATCGCACATTGTTTTTTGCATGACGAAAATAAATATCTGAATCTGAATCAATACGAACAGCCAAACAAAACGGAAACGTATAATCCGACTTGCAACTGACAGGAGCCAAATGGACGTTTTTGTTTTTTTGCCGTCCAGTAAACCAATGACATTAATGTCATCAATGACATTAAACAATGTCATTGATGTCATTGAGTAAACAAAGTACGTGACCCGTGCAAGTCCTCTTATCCGGGGGTCAAAGGTCGGGGAAAGGTCTATTGCAAAATTTTCGGGGCTTTTAAGAGTGGTTTTGCGAGTTGGCGACTGTAAAATGGAGTATGTTTTTCAAACCATCATTATGATTCATCGCATACAATAATATGTTTTTTAAAAGTACTGGTATAAAATTTTACCCTAGTCTATCACAGCTATTTCTTCACTAATTTTTTATTACTGCAATTAATTGCTGATTGGCCAATGTCGCGAAGTAAACAAGGAAAACGATGCTCTGGGAAATCTCCATTGCAAAAATTCAATCAAGTGGAAGTTTACCCGACTTTTGAACCTGAAAATATTCCAAAGTATTCTTATTTCTTGGGGTTTTTCCAGGTTTTTGACAGGCGAATACAGAATATTCTGAATAAAATCGCCTGTTTAACTCATCTGCAATTGAAATATACTGACATATGATTAACGTTTCCTGTTCTCAAACTACCGTATGCTTCATCTACAATAACTGAATAGGGTACCGGTACCGTACTCCGGTTGACCCCGGGCCAGAAACGAGAACCGGAGAATGGATGCATGGAAATTATTGAAGGTGAGAAAATAATAAAATTCGTTTTCTTGCAATGTTACCGTACCAGTATTAAATGATACCAGTATAACCACTGGTATAGATCTACTACCGGTAAATTTTTCATTTACTACCGTCACTTTGGTGCAAAAATTCCATGGATAATTTCGAGACATGGAGCAAAACCTTTCAACTAGCAGTCTAGTTTAAAACATGAAAAATAGGATGTGCCCGCTTACCGTACTTTTTGTTATTTCTGTATTTCATAAGTTTTGTTTTTCAGTAGTGTCCTGATGTGGCATTTTATATGCCCAATTTTATTACTGACAAAGAAGAAGAGTATCTTGTGAATGAAGTTTATAAATCCCCTAAGCCAAAATGGACTGTTCTGTCAAACAGAAGACTTCAGAATTGGGGTGAATAATTGTTTTCATTTATGGTATCTTCATATTATGTATTACGGTTTTACTGTGTCTTTTTGTTTTTTATATCACCTATATTAGCTAGTGATTTTTTTATTACTACAATATATAATGATTGCAAAATCATTGTATAGTTAAATATTACTTTATTAGTACCATAATATTTTCTTCTAACTTTTTTGAAAAAATATTCTTTTATTTTTAAAAAAAAAATTTCAAATAATTTTTTTGTAGAATATGTAACTTTGTTAGCATCACAGTTTATGTATCTCTTGTTAAAAACCCAGAAATTTAGGAAATGGTTGAAAGAATTGTATATAGATATCTGGAGTATGGTCCAATGCTACCAAGTCCATGCTTTCGAAAAACAAACAATACAGTAAAAACTAATCCCATACCCGACTTGGAATGGTAACCGGACGAGAGGCCGTGGTTCGCCATATGGATAAGCCGTCTTATCGGCTTTCCTCTCCCCCGGGATAAATATGTAAATCCTATCCTATCCTATCCTATGGAGGTATCACAGATATCTTTTTGGAGGCCTCAGTTCATTTGTCAAACTTTTGACATGTTTTGACAGTGAAAATGTTTGATTCGCTACTCTAGACATGCAGTAATTGAATTAAGTTGAAATAATATTTCACCTCATTTCTTTGTATTGACACAAAATTAGAATTTATATTACATACAAATGAATATTATATTTTAGGAGGAATTCCACACCCGAAGGGAATGGTGCAAGAAAATTTACCGAAGGTGATCTGCTGTTTTCAATAAATTTTATTTTTCAATGACGATACATAGAACTACAATAAAACAGATACCATATTAGTAGTAGATGCATGATATAGGTTAAAATTGTATTAATATACCATTGATTTTTCTATGAAGTATAGAAATAAAAGACAAATAAATGACTTTAGCATGTGGCGAACTACGGCCTTCAGTTAGTTACCTGTCCATGTCAGATGTGGTTTTGGTACAAGAATTAGGGGAAATAAATTATGGAGTTTTTGCATATTCATGAAAAATTTTCAAATTTTAACTGTGTTTTTATTTTAACAGTGGCTGAATGATTGCTGTGATAAAGTTTCTAATTTGGGAGTCTTTGCAGATAATAAGCCTAATCATGTTTTAGTTAATGAATATAAACCTGGACAAGGAATTATGGTAAGAAATTATTTTTCATTAACACACATTTGAAGCACAATTCTAATATCAAACATTCTCCTACGTAGATTTGAGATAATTTGACAAAATGAATCAAGGCGTTTTTAAATGAGAGTTATCAAAGCTACATTCAGCAACTATTTTTGTAGTATAAAATATTCTGAGTAAATGAAATGGTATTGTGGGTTACAATATGCAGCTCTGAGTAATGCAGGAACAATTAACCAAGTGAATTTCTTTGATTTTTTCGGATGTTGCTGCTCGATAACATTGGTTAATCCTTCGTGAAATGTCATTTATATGTTTTTTCCATATTTCATAATCGCAACAAGTGTATTTTCAGTTTGGCGGAAAATAAACTACTGACTAAATGACTGTTCTAGTCTAATAACAGTTTGCTTCGACTTGGTGCGGCTTAGAATTTGTCAAAATTTCAACATATATTTTACTTTCGTATAAAATTTAGTTGTTTACATACAGCCTCACCAAGATGGGCCATTGTATTATCCCACGGTAACAACAATCAGCCTGGGATCTCACACCATACTGGACTTTTATGATTTACGTACTGGAAATGACCAAAGTTGTAATGAACCAAAGTTTTCTTTGTTGTTGGAAAGAAGAAGCTTGCTTATATTACAGGAGTCAATGTATGAAAGTCATATGCATGGTATTTCAGAAAGATCTACTGATGTTTTAAACAAGGATTTTGTTTACAATTTCGATAATCTGGGAGATGAAACTTTAAAATCAAAGATTATAAGTGAATCCGAATTTAAATTGGATAGAAAAACTCGCATATCTCTGACTATTCGGAATGTTCCCAAAACTGTTAAAATAAAACTACAAATTGGTCGATTCAGATGACAAACAAACAAAAAAACATATTTATGTGTATATTTAGTGTATTGCAATCACTTATGTTCAGCTCTAAGCGCAGTAATCTATGAATATGACGATTCAAAATGGGTGAGATGATATTTAATCTTTCACAACTTCCAAAGAATGGATGCCTATGTCTGAGCAATATTGTGTATAAATCCTTAGACTTTGGGTGAAAGTAGGGTTGGGACCCCGGGAAATCCCGGGATTTAGACTGTATTTTTCAATCCCGATCCTGCAATTATTTATTAAAAATCCCGTGATTTTAAGGCTTTTTTATCCACATACAGATATTCTCACAACTGGTAGGTTATACCATTTTTTATACTTATTTTGAAAAAAAAACATCCACGCTTACAGTTTGAGTCAGTCAGACTAGCCTAAGTGGAATTATTGTGCGAAATTTTTCTCAAATTTGACTAGTAGAATTGTCATTATTGCCGACTTATTTAATCATAATTTGAACTCAAAATAGCATTCAAGATTCACGCAATGACTTTACAGGGTTTCTATTCACTATTTAATACAAAAATAAAACAGCCACAATAGAAAAGTAAAATCAGGAAGATCAACTATCGTCTTCATAATTATCCGCATTCCGGGTCAGAAATGATAATATTTTCAGCTTGGGATTGGGCCAGTTTATTTACAAACGGTGACAAGAAAGATCAAAGCTGACTTAAGAGATAAAAATCGGAATAAAATCCCGAATTCAGCTCCATATTCGACAATTCGTTAAAATTATTCGATTCGATTAAAATATACTTTTTTGCCCACCCTTGCGATCTGTAATCACGCCAGTAATCTGGCGAAGCGTGTGGTAGTCAAAACAATAATGCAATGAAACTTGACAAAATTTAATAAATTGCACTACTTAATGAAAGCGTGATGGTATTGCCGATTATTTAATTGACGGCTATGAAAAGGGTTTCGACATAGTAACTGCTATGATCTTTGCCATCAAATCATGCTCGGGCCTTGCACGAAATTCATAACGTGAAAAGATACGTCCAGCTGTGAAAATTCTATAACAACTTTAAACCTATTTAGTGTTTTTAGCGATAATAATTAATTGTTGTAATGAAATAACAGTTTGTTTGCCTCTTTCATTTCTCTCGCAAGTGCCGACAATAATACCATTGAATAGTTTTGGCAATGGGAGAAACATATTGAATTGCAACAAAAATGAATTAGGTTGTGAAAAAGTGAGAATACATGTGATAATAATAAGTGCTTAACGTGGAACGGCGAGCAAAACTGGTGCCAGTGATCGGCGGTGCGTCTGAAGACCACGCGTTACCCGTACGGCGCGCAACTTTTACAATAATGTGAGGTGCTCCGAAGACGCTCTCGTTTACATTAATGTAGGAAAACAGTAATATCAGCAACTATTAACCATTTGTTCGCGTTCGACTATCGCACTCTTTATGAGTAGAAAATGTCCGTGTGTATGGAATAGTAGTTAATTAGACAACATTTTCTACAGTAAAGTCCGGGAAACTTGAAGTTAGCCCGAAACATCTTCTAGTTTAAAAAGGTATTTCGGCATAATATATTATTTACCCTGATCGTAACAAGCGCGACAGCGATAAACAACAAAACGTGTTTTGTAATAGGTGTGCCGCGAATCTTTAAAGAGCTAAACAGTGTGCCACAATATAAAAAACGGTTGGGAACCATTGCCCGAGATGCTCTAATATTTCTGCGTCGATATTACATGAAATAAATACTTGCTTTTGCTTTTATTGTCATGCAAGTTTTCACTTAATCCCGAGATTATACGGCTCAATCCCAGGATATCCCGATAGCGGGATTTCAAAAACAATCTGAAGTAGAGTTACGCACTCACTGATTCAAGTATATATTACTTGTGGTTGGTTATTGGACACGTAGTGGACATAACGATCGTTTCAATATTATGTTGTTGTTGTTCTTGTTGTTGTTCTTGTTCTTTGACACGTTTTTAAAAAGTCGCTTTTCTCTTCGAATACTGGACCAATTGCTTTGAAATTTTCAGTGGTTGAAGATAAAATTTTTCTCCAGAAGGCTATTACTTTTTTTTTCGCTATGACGTCATCAAAATTATTGCCATTGGGTGGCGCTACGTGTCCATATATTTGAGCATAGCTCTCTTGTTACTAATACGAGCCATTCCATTAAGACGGGGTGGCCAACCAGTCGGAGATCAAGAGCCACATTTCTTAGTTTATTACAGCGAAGAGCCACATTTTAAACAATAACACTCACGAACACAAGATATACCTTTATATGCTGAAAGAATGAAACGTTTCATCTGCACTTCAATTATCCCTGCCGGATTCCGGTAGTTAGATAGTTTATTTTGAAAACTCCGCAATCTGACAATACACACAAATTAAAAATGGAGAGAATTCTCGAGAGCGAGCAAGCAAAGCCTTTAAAAAAGTTTAAAACAAGTTGAGTATCATGTGCCCGCACACCAATATACAACAAAATCTTGTTAAACAAGTCTTGGGCCAGAAATAAGCACACGAAAAATACGAGAATGTATTAAACTTTTGGGCTGTTGATTGTTGTATACTTTTAAAATACTCAGGCCAATAAAGACCAATTCAAACTGATACAAAGGCAACAAGTGTAGGTCTAATGCAGTGGCGGCGCGTCAATAGGGCCAACCGGGGCAATGCCCCCGCACAGACTGTCTACACTACCATATTCTCCCGACATGGTTCATTTTTCGCTCGCAAAGCCTTCGCCGAACGTCTACGGGGCGACGCCGATTTTGCCCCGGCTGCTCATTGTATATCGTATTCTTTCTTTTATCTTCCACTTTTGCCGCGTTTGTCTCGTTTGTTTTCTGTTTCTTTTACTAAATCATCGGGGCTAGCCCCGAAATTATGACGACACAATGCCGACGTTTCTTACAACAACGTGTTGACATATTCACGCATTCCTTCTCGTTCGTTGGTTGCTTGAAGAGTTGATAGTTTCCTCGCCTTCGTTTTTGTCGCTTGTTTCGCTATTTGAATCAGTTAGAGACCTTTAGTCCATTTGCTTTCGATTTTCCACATTCCTTTTGAGCTCCTCACTTCTTTCCGGCTTCGCATTTCTTAGCCTTAGACCTCATAATGAATAAGGTTGATGCACTACTTCGCACTCCGTTTTCGCAGCTGCCGCTGGAACAAAAATTAGAGGTACAACGTCTTGGGCATTATCAACCAAAAAATTGTTCACTGGAACAATCCCATGACGGAGGAAAGCGTCTGCGTACATTCTGCGCAGAAACTTTGTATAAAAAACACGAATGGTTGTGTTACAGCGAGGACAAAAATGCACTTTTTTGTTTTTATTGCCTACTTTTTGCTACCGCCCGTGACTCACGTTGGTGTAAATTTGGTTTTGGAGATCTTAAACATCTTTCCGAGCGTGCCAGGGATCATCAATCTTCTATGGAGCATCTGGACAATGCAGTAAACTACCGAACATTCGGAAATGTTAATATTGCAGCACAGTTGGATGAAGGACGCGCGGTTTCTATTCGTCGGCACAACCAAAACGTCGAGAAAAACCGCCATGTTCTCGGCCGATTGATAGATGTTTTGAAGTTCATTGGTTGTCATGAGCTGTCCCTCCGTGGGCACGATGAACGGGCTGGCTCTTCTAATAGAGGGGTATTTTTGGATATGGTGGAATACACCGCATCCCTAGATACAGTATTGAGAGATCATCTTGATGCCGCAACTGTTTCGAAAGGGACATCTAAGGATATCCAAAATGATTTGCTCGACTCAATGTATAAAATTTATTTACAACATTTGGCTCCGGAAATTGAGAATTGCCAGTTCCTTTCGATTCAGTCTGACGAGACAACTGACATCACGTGCGTTTCCCAACTGGCTGTGATTTTTCGGTTTGTGAAAGATGGTAAACCTACCGAGAGATTTCACAGCTTTGTACCAATCGTTGATCGCACGGCTTGCGAGATATCGGCTGTACTGAAAGAAGTGTTACAGCCTTACAACGCGAAGTCAAAATTGATAGCTCAAACTTATGACGGCGCGGCAGTCATGAGTGGGTCGAAACATGGTGTTCAAGTTTATATAAAAGAAGATTTTCCTCATGCGCATTTTTTACATTGTTATGCACATCAATTTAACCTCGTTATTAAAAATATGTGTCTTGATACCCCTCTCGTCCGTATATTTTTTGCAAATGTTTCGGGGTTTTCTTCATTTTTTTCCGTTTCGCCGAAGCGCTCTGACCTCCTTCGCCAGATATGTAGCCGCCGTCTCCCAGCTTGTGCACCAACACGTTGGAACTTCCAATCACGCGTGGTGCAGGGCGTGTCCGAAATTAGGTCTGAGCTCATTGAGTGTTTCAATGGCATTCAGAGCTCTCCGGTTTGGGACGAACGCTGTGTGAGGGAGGCGGCAGGTCTAAAGCGTCTGCCAGAAGATGGTGAGTTTTCATTTTTTCTCGCTTTTTTCTCCGCAATATTCTATCACGTGGATGTATTATACGGCGCATTGCAGTCAAGGCTAATGGATGGAGCGTCTGAGCAGTCGTGTATTTCAGACTTCTGCGATGCTGTATCTCGTATCTGGGAAACAATAAAATACGACGACACATGGAGTGCTTCTTTACGCCGCGGGCAAACAACGCAGCGTTTGATTTTGTCTGCAAAGGAATGCTGTGACATTCTGGTGAATCAAATAGGCGATCGTCTTGCCGCGTTTTCTTTGATGAACCACAAAAATTTTTCAAAATTTGCACGTCAATTTCCCATCCATTTGTTGGCTACTGTCTCCAAATTTTACCCCATGATAAACGTGGGTAAATTGGAAAATGAATTGCGATGTATATACACCAATCAAACTTTTTTGAACATCACATCAACTTTCGCGCTCTATGGGTTCCTCACAGATAACACTCTAGTAACTACCTTTGAGGCGTCTGCAAAATTTCTGGACATCATTTTGACGACGCCTATTTCTTCCGCCGACGCAGAGCGAACATTCAGCACGCTGAAGCGTATTAAAACGTATCTCAGAAACACAATGAAGCAAGATAGATTAAATTTCTTGGCTGTTTTATCCATTCACAGAGATGTTATTTCTGGGATGCATGACTTTAATCAGCGCGTTATTGAGCATTTTGCTTCCAAGAAACCGCGGCGTGTTGCATATATGTTCAAGCAGTAGAAGTCTAGCAGCATATATATCTATGAGTGAGCGACGCATGTCCTTATCTTTGCATTAACTTTCCTTTCTTCATAGTAACGTTTTAAACCTTATTTTAGGTTTTGTCTGCTTTACCGAAGTTTCTGTTAATATGTCATTGTATCTATCTGGGTAAATATTGCCTTTCCTTTTGAAAGAGGTTTCAAAATAAACTATGTCTATATTTATTAATCCCTCGACTTGGACCGGTTTTAAAGACACTTTCTTATCGTTAAAAATTCTCGCTTTTGCCGATTGGTTGTTACCGATGGAATGGTTTTTATACTCATAAAATGATGGGAGAACTTACAGCGCTCATCCTGTCCCCGTAGATGGGGGTGACTTGGTCCCGCAGTAGCTTGCCCCGGTTGTCAAAATGACCACGCGCCGCCACTGGTGTAATGTAATAAGGTGACGAGAACGGTCAAAAGCCATGAAAAACTACATTGATTTGACATCGATGAAAATGTGATAAAGTGGTTCAAGACACATACAAACGAATCAAAACAATGCTGGTAAATTATGTGCACATGCACTCATAAAAACAATCATCAGGAAAACACTAACTGACTAATCACGCGTAAACATGTATGCAAAATAATGAAGCCAATGTCCTTAAAAACAGTATACACACAAAACAATAGTACGCCATGAAATGAATGTGTAAAAACGTTATGAATTGACCTGGTTATATCGTGTTACATTACAAAAATTATATGCATATATCGTACCAAAAAGATTGTTCGAATTTTTTTTAATTTCCAAATAAAATTTGTAGTATCTTGCTGACAGTTGAATTTCAATTCCATACTTTTATTCATATTTCTGATCAAATATTTTTTGATTCTGTTATGTTACCTAATGTCCCTCTCATATTGCGATAAAACCACGAGCTGAACGTCTTGTATGGTCGTTGATTGTTCGTATGTTGATCCCGTTGATAAACCATTATCTGCAAACCTTTTCGTTTAATGTTTTGTGCGGTGGCGACCGTATTCTCCCAATGCCTGACACGTCTCATTGTTTGGCAAGCCTTGGAAATGTGACCAAGGTTGTTTACGGTGAATTTTATTACTGTTTACAAAATATAATGAGTTCAACAAGTATATATAACATATTATTCCCTAGTTTAATCATAGGCAATGTGCCACAGCCTCTAGGAAAACCGTCAACAAAATATGAAGTATAGGCACAAAAAGTTGCGCATCGGTTACTCAGGAAAGGCCGATCACTGTTCTTGCCGAAAGATCGATACCTGATATTTCGCCCAACATTTGCTGTTCCATTTTGACAGCTGACTGCTGTTGGATTGAATATGTTTTCCTTGTTCTGCATTATATCTGTTCATTTATCTGTGTATTTCCGATAAAAAAGAAACTTCCTTGCGTGCGTCATGAGACTATCGAAACTTTTGTGTGGCTTTGCTGCACACGGAATCCTCTGAGGATTTTACAAACTCGAAGAACACGCTTATTCGTGAATCAGTACCGCTGCACTCTCCTATTTTAGTAAGCAGTTTTAGAATTTAGTAAGCAGTTACCCACATCGTAAAAATACAATAAAAAATAAAAGCAGCGAGTAATATTGTCAAAAAAAAGATAAATAAATATTTAATCAAAAATGCATTGGGTAAGCCACAAATCACTAGCGAGTAATGATGTCAAAAAAAGATAAATAAAAATCTAATCAAAAATGCATTGGGTAAGCCACGCCCACAAATCACCAAGAATGAGGGTCGCTGCAAGATACCTTTCAGTCTGTTTAGAAAAAAGTTTCATATACAGTATACACAATGTACAATCACGTCATACGTTATGGCAAACCAAAATTCTGACCACTTTGAAGCTCTTAAATACGACAACGACTGAACATGGTAGAAGGGAGTAATTCCAAAATATGAGGTATAGGATTTGGTAGAATACCCTCTCTGTTATGAGACTCCCCTCGGCATTTATTTGTATAAATGCTGTATGTTTTAAAATTTGTGAATATATTCACGATTTTCATTTTTAGCTTGCTTAGATTTTCGAAACCATTTTTTCACAAATTTAGTCTTTTTCGGACGATTGTTAGACAACGCAGCTTCTGATCTACTCAGTCTTGCCATATTCCCAACCGAAGAAATTTGGGGTCTTCGGGGAGCGGCTGCAGTTGAAAAACTGGATGGCCTGGGTGGAAGATCAGGAGCTAGATAATCTGACCCTGTCGCAATTTCTTCGTTGTGATCGATGTGAACTTTTACTTGTGTTGGTTCGAGAGATCTAAAGTAAGCGTTGTTTTAGTCAATTTTCACTGTCATAATTCGATAAATGAAAATTTCCTAAATTTTTCTTGCTATTGTGTTCAACAATTGTTGAATGCGTGTAAGGACGCTTGTATTTAATATAAAATGTCCAACCATCCATCGTGTTGCTATCTATCATAAATGTCCAATATAGTAACTGATAACTCGGGCTGAGCATATCCAATAGTAAATTATTCGAATCCATTCAGACGAAAATTCAGAATCGACGCCATTCTATTTTTTTTTGTCCACCGAAGGTCGAGGTGAATTTTTCAATTTTTTCTTATTGAAGAAATATTTTTAGAAATGCAATTCTAACATATATATAGATTATTCCTTTGTTCCTAGTGAGTTACTTGTGAAACATTTTTTTTGTGTCTGAGTAATAGATTCTATGATTTCAGTAATTTGGCAATAAAAATAGAAAAGTCACATGCAATTACAAATCTTCCAAGTAGGCTATACTAGATTCAATTCAAAAATATACTCGATTGGATTCTGAAATCATCGGGTATTCGAAAATGCCGGGTCTTACTTAGAACACGGCGCATTAAACGCGAAATTCACAACTATATATATATAATATATACATATGTTATAGAAATCTTACTTGATGTCATCAGTCGCCTCTTGTGCGCTCGTTGTTGTAATGTTCGAATATAATGTATCAACATCTGTGCACACAATTCAAAATCTATTAGCATTTAAAGGTGACAATAGCATTAAAGAAAAAGTACAAGTTTTTCTTTAACTAATATACCGTATATGAAGCGCGTTATTTGTAGTGTTTGACCCAAAATCCAACGTTGTAATCCAAAAATACGGAATGGAAAACCGAAAATTTCAATACCTTCGTCTCGGTCTCTTTGTGGCTGCACATGGCGTAGAATTCCATAATTTAATTCCTCGTCTGAATCACTTAATTCAGCGCCACTATATATCAATCTTGATAATCGACTCTCCAAAACCTGGGCGTTTAGCATTCTCTGCAATGCTTCATTCCTCTCCCTTTCTGCTTCGTTTTTTATCGTTAGCAACTGAATATAAGAATGTTTAAAAAAGTTGATTATGACCTATATATATCTATATATCAAGCGTTTCACACAAAATACTGATTTTATTAGAGATAGATACCTGTCTCAACTTCATACACTCTTTCCTGTAAGTATCTCGCTCTTGTCTTATTATAAAGAGTTCTTCCTGTAAAATTAAAAAAAATGTATTATGAATACCGAAAATCTATATATATATATTGTATCGCCAACCGTCATAAATATTGTGTTAGTACTCTAATCAAGCTTTGCTTGTTGCGATGATTTATAATTCATTGCAGCGTTGTTGAAGTCACGTCCCGCGAGCAGCATAAGGCCATCCAAATTTTTTTAAACTTTTTTCTTAACTCAGCTCTAAAAGGCGATTAATTGAATTACAATTAAAATCGTGCATACTATTTTATGTGTTTAGTGTCCCTGAATTACATGCGGACCCCGGCACAAATTCTTGCATGCAATGTGGCCCCCGAATGCCTACAAGTTTGACACCCCTGATTAAGTTCTCAATAACTAGAGACATATCAGCTTAATGAGAACATGACAAGTTATTTCTAAACACACCCGCTGTAAATCCCGTTCTACAGTTGATTAAAATTCTTAAATAGTATCACGTTAAAATATTAGGCCAAGCCAATCCGAATCGAACATGGCAAACTAGTTGCTGTATCATCACAGATAATTTTCTCACCCGTAGTTTCAGCACATCTTGTTCCGCTTGAGTTCTAATGCCGAAGTTATCAGACCTTTCAGTCATGTTACTGAAAGAGGCCATATTCCATATACTTGTCAAAAGTAATATCTCCCAAAATGTATGAACAAAACCTACTCTATACGAGTTTACGTTCTCTAACCTACTTACAGTATTCTATGCGATTAGTATATATTATTCTCTAATAATATTACAAAAACAAAAAAGGTAGAGTGAAGGCGAGCAAAATTGATTACCTAATTTGTGTGGTAACTTATATGAAGATTCAATTATTTCCGCTAAGAAATGATGAGCAAAAATTTATAATAAAAGCATAATAGTTTTCAACAAAGATAAATGATTAAAGACGGCATAATATGAAATAAATGATATTTTGCGATGTGCATTTATTTATTTGTGTTACTGTTTGAAGACTATTCTAAGACCTCAAAATAGAAAAGATGGCATTAATTGAAAGTCATTTGCCAGAAATTTTAAATAATAAACAATCTTAGTGAAGCTATAAACCCAACCTAAGTTGGTGTTTTTGTTGTTCAAATCATTTTTATAATTACAAATAAAATTCATTACTTATATAAATGTTTAGCAACTGGTCTTCGATTGACTCCTTTGATATCCTCAAATTCATTTTAATTTTATGTTTCTAATTATCATGAAAACCTAATAATTAATTGATAAGTTCACAGCAACGAGGTGCTACCAGCAATATGATGTTTTGCGACGGATAAATTCTCATAGTATATATATCATACTTGCCAGGCGCGTAGACTGCTCATTACCTCGTCTGCGGGCTAGAACGAACTATGCTATGTCAATCGCTGGACTGTGATCTTTTCAACTCACTAAACAGACCGATGAGACCATTGCCCACAAAAGTGTGATTGTTTCGATAAAAAAAAACTTTGATCGAATTATAATCCGATTGTAATTTACTGTATATTACTCGTCCTTGTGCAACGACCTTAAAAATTTCTCTGTATTTATAAAATTAAATATATATATATACGTGGATGCCGTTTGATATGACATGAACCCCTCCAAGATTCATTCTGACACAATGCCATTTCTTACATTCACATATAGATTTGCAGTGATTTCGAACTCCTCCGTCCGTATTTTGTTTTCTAGCACTAATACTATTTTAGTTTTCACGGTAGATTTCCGGTAAATCTTACCCGTAAAGTCATGGACGCTAGAGATACGATTTATTTACACATATTTACAGCGTTACTATCTGTCTTAGTGGGCTATGTTCAGTTTCTATAAAACGAGAACATTTCTGGTTAATATCATACTTGTTGACATAATGACATATCACCAAGACGTAATAATTTCGATATCTCCATTTTCTTGCGTGTAACAAATCTGTACCGGTATCAGAATTTTTAGGGGCTGCACCGAATAAACTTTGTCGATATTGGAGAATTATTAGAAATAGGGCATTTTCAAGTTTCCAATCCATTTCAAAGGTATGAAATGAATGACTTACTAAATTGTTATACATGGTCTTACAAAAAAATCTTTTACAGACGAATCATAATGTTTAATTGACGTAACCTGCTACCAAATTGTTTCTCTAGGTAGAATCAACATAATTATTATACTTGTTATTTTTTATAGTAGTAATCAACCGAGTCGAGTTTATATATTTTAAAATTATAATTAAAATGCATAGAACTCTTCTCTTATATCCTCTCACCATTTACATCTTATCACCTCACCATTTTATCAAATATATTAGAATGTATCGGATTTTCATCTGTATTTTATTTGAATTTCTTCCTTATTGTAATATATTTGTAATCAACTGTGGGTAAGCGCCGATATGCTGTTTACGCTACAGATCCAAACAAACGTATCAAAGTGAAACTAGTTGGCAATACGAATGTATATTGTTTGCCCAAGCGTTTAGATTGTGCAAATACATGAAATGTAACATATACAAGGCAACAGTGATACATTTTAAAAATAAGATACTCTAAAAACAAATCCGCGAGCTACGTCGAAGATGCGAAAAGAGATAAATTTTTATTCCTAAATCCGGTGCTTTGTAGGCGCTATCGACATCAGCAGAGGCAAAACGTGAACTGAGATGGCGCAATAGTGCAATACTATACCATTCATATAAACAGACGGGCAGACGAAACGTAGCCTCACAGAATGAGAGTACTACGAAGAACTATCGGCTTTAAGCGACTGGAAAAGTGATTGCGAAAGTCCTTTACCCAAACACTAGCTTAGGTGAATTATAAAATAATTATCTTATTATTACAACTAAACACTTTCTTTACTATTTTTACATTAACCTTGAAATGATCGTATAGGCCTACCTTTAAATTGCAGGAAAATATATCAACAATTTTAAGTATAGAAACCTATACCTTATTTGGAAAAATTTTCCAGGTATTACCAGGGAAACAATTTTTTCACGACTAAGCTGTCTTACTCTTTAACGCTAACCTGCAAAAGAAACTGAAAATATCGGTAGACGTCTCGTGACTTTCAAGATCAGATATGTGAGAAAAAAACGCTGGTAATGTAATGAGTGCGAATTTGATATTTTGACTTACATACAGCGCAAGCAAGTCTGTGGTTGTAAAATTTCAACACATACCAAAATATACAGGGTTTACAAATTAACACATTTCCAATTATGGCGGTAGCTTTATCAAGCGCTTCTAGAGGCTTTGTATGAACGTCCAAAATTTAACGTTCATGTATGTATATACCACATAATATATTCTTTCACAGTGTTGATATACAGATTTATAATTTGTATTCGTTCGTGCTAAAAAAATCATTGCAACGCGTTTCACAAATATAGCCTGAAGCCTAGTCTATTTTGTTTAGATTTGAACGTTCAATCTGTGGAATCAAACAACTGATCACATATTAACAGGTATTACTCGTAATTTTCCCTAACACTATTCATATGACATTTAAATGTAAACATTGCACATATAAGGAGCTAGATTTGGTATGAAGCTGGCCTATTTGCGTTTCTAATAATTTCATGTTGTCGAGAAACAAACGAATCGATGTAATTTTCACGAGCGATCAAGAACTAGTCAATTATCCAACAGGAAAATATTCCGTTTTCATCACGCAGCCCTTTAGGTTTTCATGCCTTATTGCGACGTGTCCTTTAATCCCTTTGTTGTTAAAATGAAATTTTTTTATATGCATTTATCAAAATGACGTTGCAATGATTTTGAAGTCGTTTTGATTGGTGCTAAAAATCTCAATTTTTCGATAATTCAGTTCGCAAAATTCGACTTGAATTCTGACAATTACGTTGCATAAAGGGTTATAGCCAAACGAAACTGTGAGACGACGTTCACGTTGTTTTAAAAAACGACGAAAGCATTTTCAACAAACTCTATTTTTTCATTCATTCCATTTAGATATAATTTACAACAGATAAAGTACTTTCATCAATTATTTCTTGACAAATAGGGAGAAAGTAACGAAATGTTAAATATTGTTTTTCACGTTGTTAAAATTGCCTGTCAAAACCAGGATATTTTACTTCTACAGTCAAAGAAGCGACTAATACCCGTAATTTATTATCGTTTTTAATGGGATAATTATTGTCGAAGTGGATATCACACACCATTGAAGTTTAAGCTAGGAGTATGAATCTCGCTAATAAAGAATAGCAATAGGTTGTTCTTTACTTCGAATTTTTGTTCCAATTTTGAGTTAAAATTTCTTTATATCATATTAATTATCAACTATTCGTATTTATTTTTTTACAAATAAATTGATTCACCTGTTGTGAACAAACTTTATCTAACAAGATACAGAGACATATCTCACTCAAAACTCATCTCAAATTTTAATATGAGAACCTGTTTGATGTATGCGTCTTCTCTGATATGGTATGTAAGCGCATTTGTATTTATATGTTGCAATTTTAGGATTGAAAGGAATGAAATATGTAGATGAATGGAAGAAATCGAGGAAGAAATGACCGAAGCAAGTTGACAATAATATAAATGAACTCAAAGTTTTCTCCAAATGAAGTTGGTTGAATAAATGATGTTTATGTTGATATTGAAATAAAGTGATAAATCTGCGTTGTAAAATGGAACAATGACAACATTTTTTAGTCATTTTATTCATTTGATTCAGCTCCATTGATCGAATAGCCTACTTGTCGAATCTTTCATCTAAACTAGCATTTTCATTCTAGTGACTTATTGTTGCTAGTACAAGACAATTTGTTGAATTGTAAGCAACGTTGTTTGAAATTATATTTTAAAAAAGAACTACAATTACTAATTTAAAACCAACAGCTATTCTCCCTAGTTTCAGTTATGGATATCATTTAGTAAACTATGACAAAAATTTGAAATATGAACATTTCATTTTATCAAAATATTTCCTAAAAAATGTTTTTACTAGATGTAGATTTAATAGGTTATCAGATACAAAATATAGTAGTTTTTTATTTTTATTTCGCCATACTGTTCCGCCTTGTGGGTGATTTAAATCAATCAATTTTTACGTTTGGTGTTGTTCTTTATTGTTAATGTGCCATCAACATTTAGCTAGTATGCGCCTATACGGCATCAATCATTGTAGGTAATATATTATAAATAACTGATTTGTTAGAAAACTTCCGGGGAAAATACCCAATAATTATAATTTTGCCGTGCAATTTTTGTTTTATATTAACTTGAAAGCAATGACTAAACGCAACACTGTGGCCCGTGCGACAATGAAGTCTGTTATCTGATCATTTAAAAGATTCTAATCCGAATTGCATCCCCACCGCCGCAGGTATGGATTAACAACGGTACTGTCTGGGTCGCGCATCGGTGCCGGTACGGCTACGCGCTAGAGTCCCGCGTGTGCTTCACTAGAAAGGTTCGGCGGGTAATCGTGATGTACGCGGTTAAGCGCGGAAAAATAAAAAGTGCTTCGGGTTACTCATAATAAAACATCAGATAAAATTAATAGATATATGTTTGAGTGTTGAAAATTTGGGATCGCTTGGTACATTAGGTAAAACGAATGGAATTTTTTTTTTTGAACAACAACAACAAGAATTTAGCAGAACGATCTATAATCGGTCGCCTCATGTCCAATAAAGTCAAGTCATTCTTAGCTCTTGTTATATAGTGAGAGTGATCATGAGTAAATTTGCCATATTTGTGTAAGTGTTTTAATTAACTGTTGAGCCTGTAACTTGACTCCTGGTGAAACAATACTACATACAATACGCAATGCTACTTTCTATGAAAGGCGAATCGGAACGTCGAGACATATTATAACATGATGACTGAAATTTGATTTGATTATTTTATCTACATACAAGTAGTGTTCAAATCAGAATGAGAAATTACTATATATACATATTGTCAGATTTGCACTTGACATTGCATGACTTGTGATTATAATGGAATGTGGCAGTCTTTAGTGTATTAGAGATAGCTATTAGTAAACAGCATATCTACCGCCATATACGAATTTTATTTATATGTCATAGATTTCGAAAAAAACATTGGGTTAGTTATTTTAGATGCAACGTAGTTTTGCTATTTTCAGCAATAACGAAATGTGGATGTTTTATTATTGCAGGTATTAATAGAATGTATCTCTTCCCCTAAACAACATGCTGTCATCTCCCTACATTGCATTGTTGTATTATATACTTTAATTGATATGGATGATAATAGCACATTCAGGATTTCAATCTCTGATTTTCTCGAGACCGGGATAATTAACAACAGAGAACTCACTATTAATTATATCGAAAATCTACAGGTTGGCTCTTTAATAATTCGATAATATTTTGATAAAACACATTTTTATCTTGAAATTTTAATTGATTTTAATTTCATTACATACTTCTAGAACAAATTACGTGACGTCACTGACCTTGCAAATAAAAGAAAAGCCAAAATTTTACGGCTAAGAGAAAGATACAGTCTTCTCAAAAATGACAATAAAGAAAAGTCAGATGAACTCAGAAGAATGTCAGATGAACTCATGAAATCCATGGGGAAAATAGAAGAGCTTAGGGTATACTTTGCTATTTATTATTGAAGTATTTTGGAACCTTGTGGCTTTTATCTAAATGTGCTTTATATAGAATTTTTTATCGATGCACTATATCATTGGTCTGTGATGTATATATATGCTTTGCTCTGTGATCACACGAAGTATTTTATATATTTCCAAAAAATTCTATCATTCTCCTTATTCTTCAAGTACTTTGCATTTGATATACCATCAAGTATCGTCAAAATCCACAAATGTCAGATTTTAGCTTTATGTCTTCATTTACTACTGATAACACAATTGAGATAGGATACACCATGTTGCAATTTAATTATATTTACACTTTTTCGTTATATTATTTTTAGATGTTTCAAAAGAGACTTGTTGATTTGTTAGGTTCGCCCGTGACGGGTAAGATGAATTTTCACTAATTGTGTTTAAAATTTATAATATTATCTGAAATAAAAATCATGTGTTTTTGTGCAGATAACTCCGCGTATCGCCGAAATGAAATGATTCGCAGGTAAGGGCTTAATAGAAAATCAGAGTGATTCTCCATTCGAAAAGTTTTGTTGTATTGAATATAATTGTTTTATTCCAGTGGTTCCCAACCTGGGGGCTCCCTTGAGGGGATCGCGAATCACAATAATTTCACGTAGAACTTTTTTCTATCAGCAATTTTATTTAAATCCCAATTGAATCACCCTCCCTCTGAGACTCTTGTTTATCGCTTCTAAAAAATGTCATAACTTTTTGTTCAAACGTGCGAGAAACTTCACTGATAACTTGTTGAAAATCTTATTTTAGCCGCTTTATGCCAGCAGTTTCTCGAGACGCATGCGCGCTGTTGCGAGCGAGCGGAATTAGAATTGAAAATATGCGAAAAGAAATTACGCGCGACCGTGATTACGAACACATTTACAGGCAAGGATCATGCTTGAGTACGACGCAAAAGTGTCTTGAATTGCTTTTGTTTTCAACATACGTCCACGATAAGACGTATACGTAACGGATGTTAACTCATAACTAACCAATCATATTAGAACCATATTGTAGCACATAAGTAGCATCCCGATTATATCGCGTTCGGCAATATAAAATGAATGCATATAAAAGCGGAAAAATTAAAAACGGATACCAATCTTTAAGACTTAAACTTGGCTGATATTGGGATCGAGTTGTGAGCGCTCTCACCAACATGACTTCCCACGTGTTAAATGCGCTCTATTTTTGAGTAATTTCAATTCTATTTTTCTCATTTCTTTTTCAGCTGGCGGACCCAGCATTTTTATTATTATTGTGTAGAGAAAAAAATTTTCCTAGTTTTTATCAAAGCATGTGTCAGAAATTAGAGTATCATAATATATCATCGCACTGGAAATCGCTAAAGAATGAAATCACATAAAATTGGAGAAACACTTACTATAAAACCGTATTTTTTTACAACTGCCAAAATTGTTCTCGGGATCCAAGTTGTGGCGAAACTCAAACATATTTCTTTTTTAACAATACTGCGATGACAATATGTTGTGGAGTATGTAAAGATGAAGCTCCCGCTATGTTGGAATCTCGGTCTGGCCCAACGAGCAATTAAAGACGCTTATATTACATTACTTTCCAGAACTCAAAGAACAAAAACTACTTTTGCACGAAACCTTTTTTCCGACTCTTTGCATGTGAACGACGTTCCCGGCGAATCGGAAGAGCAACATATCAGGTTGTGATATGTTTGAATCATATGCACATATGTCGAAACTGGCATTGCGCATGCTGCTGGCTTTCGCTACGACATACCTTTGTGAGAGCGGATTCACAAATTTTTTATATATCCAAACTAAGAGAAAAAATAGTGTGGAAGTAGAAAATGACTGGCTTTGTTTAACAAAAACCACAAATTTCAACGATGCCTACGCAGACGCAAGCATAACTATCACATTAAACATAAAGAGTTGATAGCGAATATTTGGCTATGCTATTCATTTTGGCCTCTTTCAAATATAATTTTAGGAAATAATGTTAATGGAGTCGCGATATGTCTCGAATCAAAAATGGTTGAGAACCACTGTAATTTATTCATTTACTAATGTAAGCTGCTCACCATATAAACTTATAATTGTTCAATAGTTCAATCTATTTTGCTCTGTCAAATACTTGATAACGTGGAGAACAAGAATGTGCAACATAAAAATATATAACTATTACAGATCTGCGAGTTTTTGCTCTCCGACATCGGATAGATCAGCTTCTGTTAAAAGATCATTATCTCTTGGTAAGGTATATATAGGATCATATATGAGTCCCAATAGTTCTGGTTGAAAACATAGATAACACGCATTATCGGATTAATTACATAGGTATTTTTGTTTCAAAATAAAACGCTAATATTTGTTTTTATAGCTTTAAGACTTTTAAGCAATTTGAAAAAAAGAGGACGACAACCAATTGTAAACAGGTTTAGCTGTCGAATTAATTGGAAATCAGACACTCGCTTTTGGTTGCGACATGTTAGTTTTTCACTCCACAGCAAAGCTATCCCAAAGCCCAAAGGGTATAGGGATTTAATTCAATATTTTTAAATTCAAGAGAATAACATTCTGTGTTAACATCATCATCAGCTTTGGCATAAGCGATATAAAGTGTGGGCTGCTTTTTTAAGGTCGAGAACAAGACCGGAACGATTATTCCCGAAGAATATTGGAAGACGTGAGAAACGATATCCGCCCAGAAAGCGATCGCAGTTGTCATTTCTGTTCCGCAGAACATAGTAGATCACCGTCTATGGTGCCGCAAAACAGCGTGAATAAATACCGCAGTAGGTCTACACGTCCCAAGACTATTCAGTGATCGATCTGGTTTCAAATTTTACGATTGAAATGTGTGATTTCGTTATCTTACAAATATAATACAGTACATGTATTACTTATTAATATCTCAAACATCAAATGTATATGTGCGATTTTTATTGGTAATATATTGCAAATTATCTTGATAATTGATGAAGTAATGTCACATTACAAATAGCACGACAAAGAGGTGATATACAAAAATATTTTTCTGTAATGTAAGATCGTATTTTATTATTGAATTCTTTTTATATTCGTATCTATTTTCAATTTTTATATGACTAATTCAAGTAAGTATATATATATATACCCATGTAAAATCTGGAACATATTATATAATAACATATATTCAAACCGACTACCCTGTTTCGAATTGGTTTTTAAGCCAAAAAATTTAATTTTCTTAAAGGATGTTTCCCCTTGTTAACGTTGTCGACGGAAGTTCTATTTTTTCGTTAATATCATTTTGTGCATTGATATAGCACGACTTCAAATATTTCTATTATAATATTTCATCCATTTCTAAAAGTGAGAAGTTTTCGACTACCAGCTTCTTTTAGAATTCGAATTTCCCATACGACCCACTTTTAGAATATTCATTCAGTGTGTGTTATTTTACTTTAAAAAAGAAAATGCAGAATTTTGCTTTTTTGTGATAGCACTCCAAAGCTTGGCCTATTTTCCTTATTTTCATACAATAATTTTAATCATAAAAATGAAAAAGTGAAGCATATTTTTTTTCAACGAATCAGCGAGACTATTCGTAAACTTTCGTTTGATCAAAGTCATAACTTCCTGAGACAAAACAAGATATAACTGTAAAGATAAAGATCACATTAATTCTAAGAATCAATTTTTATGCCGAAATTAGAGAACATTTTAGGATAAATGCTTTTGTTTATTGTTATCTGGCATTTTCAAGCTGATTTATTGTCTTATGAAGCCCATTTGTATAGTTATTTACTTCATATAATTGGGAAGATCCGTATTTTAAAGGTTTGTACTTCTCGTTTTTAAAAACATCAGGATCGCTCTCCAAGCATTCAATATCTTCTCTTCCATAAATCACATTTTCCATATGTTCTGTAATTGTCCGTCTTGCCGTTCCATTTGTAAAAAGAGGTATCTTTGGGTTCATCGAATTGAAATCTGGCTTGAAACGCTCATCTATGTTGATTCCATTCACAATTCGACATATTTGACAGTATGCCGTTTGTCTTCCATAATTAGGCATATCTTCTCCTGGAAGAAGATACCAACTGTAACAAAATGAAATGAAATATAGAAGCATATTGATTCAAAGGTATTTTTAAAAATTTGCTTATGGTCTGACGTTCTCAAGTCCATCAGGCCAAGGCGATACACCGATATGAATTATGACAGTGTACAGAAGTTATACGTTGATAAAAATCAAAATTCATTTTTTCTATTTTGAAAATTGAGTTATTTTAATTCTCTCCTTTAAAGAGAATATGTCTGAACTTCTCTGTGGATCTCATTTGATAATGAGTTTCAGTTCAGTAAAAAGATATAATTCCAGAACAAAATTTGTTTATTATAACTTGATGCATTTTACCATCAACTTTCAGTCGTTGAACAATGACTTGGGGTAAATAATATCAGAATATTGTGCATGCTGAACGGGCTGTGAACTCAATTAACTACTTTTCGAACATCACATTAGATTTAAATATGAAGGATATAGACGAAGTTCGAATATATTTATGAAACAGCTCAAACAAAAGATTACAATATTGTCAATTCCCAACACTGCATGTTTTATGGGAGAATTTCTTGTGTCATCGCCTGACTTTTTTAGGTAGAACTAGATTTAAATTACGGTAATTCGACATTTAATTTTTTTTAACCAAAGTCCAAATCTATAACTGTAATGTTTAACATCTATACAAATTTTAAATTATACTAATCCATCGAAGATTTATTAAATCAAGTATCCCGAAAATATTTTCACTTACATAATGAAATGAATTATCTATTTTGAATATATCACACGAAATTATTCCTGTGGTTGGACTTATTTTATATAAATATTTCTTTTGGAGAAAATTCACAATGTTGTGTTCAGAGCAATAAGTCACCACGTGACAAAGGTGTGCAAAAACTTCAATATATATGTATATATAAAACAACGGCGCTCCCGAAGTATATGCACCAAGATGGCGCACACCCTGACCCCTAACCTGGTACACATACTATGTTAAAGTTGTGCGCCATCTTGGTACATATACTTCTGGAGGTTCAAAACAACTTACCTAAAATACTTTAGATACTCTTCATCGTTATTATCCAAGAAGTCAAGATATGAAACTAGTTCTTGTAGTGAAGAGAAATCGTCAACGTGAATGAAAGAATTCGGTGGTGCAACTCTGTTGTAGTCATCCCGTTTTGGACCCCACACAACTGGTACGACACCATTTTGCAAACCAATTTTAAAGAATTTTTCAGTGATATAGTCTTTACAGTGGTAAGAATTTTCAAAAGCGAGATAGAATTTATAGGATTTCAATATTTCTATGTGAGATGCTCTTTCTAAGGTGTTGTTGAAGCAAGATCCGAACTTATCTATTCTAAGTCCATATTCTGACATTTCTGTTATGATTTTTATTCGGATACGTGCAGCAGGCGAAAAAATACAGTTTGAAATAATAGCTATAGTATGATTTGTTTTTACTTTTAGCATATTTTCAAATTTTCCGTCGTATTCCTTTGCAAATAGTTTGTTTACTGCATGATGCGAAAAAAAAGCGTTCCCGTAGGTATAAAAAATGTCGGAATCTCCTCTTAAAGTCATTGTGGCATTGAATTGTCGATCAGTTTCAAAAGTGAAGTTCATCGATCTTTGTTGTAGGGAAGATGGAGATTCACCACTTAGCCAAATGTACAACTGGTCAGGACGTCTGAAGTCGAATATAAACAGAAATCAAACTTGTAAAAAAAAAATCGTTATTATTTCTATAGTATATGGTACTTGAATATATCTACGCATATTCATGAGTATATATGTGCCATTCTTTCTATATATATACCTTTAGAATGATGCACATAGTTTTTGGATTACAGCAAATTCAATGCCAGAATATGGAATTTACATCTACCGAAATTTGACAGCAACATGCAAAATTCATGTTGGACCCACATTTAAGATTCATCCCCGGAATTCCAGTGCTGTATTGTATTTTTACGCAAGCTTGTTCGAAGTCAAGACGAAACGTCAGCAAAAAGTGAAAAGACTACAAAATACTTCAGCTGAAATAAACAACTTAACGTGAAGCGACGTACATCAATAATATCTTTGTGGATATAAACCGAGAAAGGGGGTGAAACTAGATTTTTCATACTTTATTCTTATTCAATAGTACAAATTACCTTAAGGATTTCGATGGCATAGTCGCAGAGTTCACCTTTCTGTAGGTAAACACTACAGCTGCTGTATGACTGTCCACTATCTAGACATAAAAATATACCGCTTTTGGATGTCACACTGTATAATAATTCATCAGTAAGTTACGTTTGAAACAATATAATATAGGCACAAAAGCGTATTACTTCTAGGATTTCGTAATTGATTAATTCACTTTCTATTTATAGATTTAATAGTTGGAACAATTTATATTAAAGAAACAGTTTATAGTTTAACATCCGGGTAAAAGCTGAAAAAGAGTATTCATTCATAACAATCGGAGTAATATATATTATATTTTTTTAATTTTATATATTTTTCTTGAAAGCGAAATTATTTCTTGGAAATTCAAATCCCATACATTTTTCAATTCACATCAACGTTATAATTATTCTCCAAGAAAAATTTAACAAATAGCTAAAAGGAATACAAAGATTCAAATTTCCGATGGAATTTCATTACAAATTTTACCCACTAGTATTTTACTGCCATAAATCTAAATTAAACACTTTGAAAGTAATCACACCCTTGTATTATTCTTTGCGACAAGGCTACAGTATCCACAATTTCTATTCATTTCATTCCCAGTTCTTTCGGGTCTGTTGAATCCGCCCCAGATCACAATCACCTTTAAAATTAAATAAATAACTGTAATGCAGAAAAATAATGTATGCTGATCATTAGACATAAGCTGAACGTGATAGCCTATGAAAAATAATATATTCTTGATCAGATTTCTGACAGTCCATAATCTCCGAAAATAGACAAAAGAAAAGAGATATAGATTTCATTGCCGTTATACCGTTTTCAAGTTCTTTTTCGGCGCTCTATAAGTATGTGTACCAATATGGAGGTAACTAATTTTGTTCGCCTACTTTACATCAAGTTGTGTAAAGGGACGGAAGCCTATGGGTAGGGGTATATTCACTTGGCTAACACAAACAGTCCCCCGAACTCGTAATATAACTAAAATAAGAAAAATCAGAATAAAATTATGTCCTAGCCCTAACCTGGTACATTATACGGGAGTACCCATTTTTCTTCGGATCTTCAAAATATTTGCTTGGAAACACATTGCACAATATCGTAAAACAAATGGGGAGAATTCTATTTAAAGGAACTTTATCTCTATTGATTATTTACGACTAAGTTATATTTAAACATACTTGCCTTTATTTATGAATCAACATACCTTTCTATTTTTTGATGCTTGGTTTAATTTCTCACTAAGCTGCTTTTCTTCTTCCTCCGTTAATTGATATATGGTAGGAGTGAATGATGCTTGCTTACTGGAAAAATCTTCAAAGTTGTCTCTTCCCTCATATTCAGTTTTAGAAAACGACATTTGCTGGTAGGTTGTCGCCATATATCCGTTATATATGTGAGTTGAGATATAAACACAGTACACAATTGTCAGTATACACGTCGTTATGAAGCATATGTTGCGTTTGAACATTGTTACCTTTCTATATTTTCATTGTATACACTTAACGAATATCATACATTATTATAGTATTTGTAGTAAGTTGAAAGTCACTTTAACAAGACTGATCTAGTCATTAGTCAGAAGAGTGATTTAATCAGATAAGACCCCGAATCAGCCTTCGCTACGCTGTAACATTAATTCTGTTTTACAATTCAGAAGCGCAGGTAATCTATAAACGTACTACTGACAAGAAATTTGCAAGAGCGCGCTACTTGTTTTTGTGCCAAAATATACAAATGTTTGAACAATGCCTGAGGCATCGTGATTTGGCCGTTAATGCTCTAATATCTATACGCAATGTATTTTATTCCATTTTAAGATTAGTTAATAATTTCTTAGAAGCATTGCATTTTAATCAATACCGATTCTCGAAATCAAAATAATCCTATGTTACGATTCGAAAATTTTTACTTTGCACAATAACTGATAAAATTTTGCACAAAATCACCATGTAGCTGAAAGTGTGATAGCATTTTATGTGTGTTTTCTTTCCGCTTGTCTTGTTGCAATTTTGCTCTGGAGAGTCATATTATATCAATCGAAGTCTGACATTGCACAAGTCTGATTTTATGACAGCAGATTACATCAGAGAAAATCAGCGACCGAAAAACAAATTGTTTCTGGCTCCCATAATTACATATTTTAATTTGAGTATGATTTATTTTTATTTAAATAATGTTAAAAATAAAGCACACCAAAGAGTAAACGTGATTCGGAATCGGGCAATACTATTAACGCAAGTTTAAAAAAAAAGCAAAATTTAGGTGGATAATTAAATGTAATAAACTCTCAACAACTACTTTCGTCTTTGATTGATGAAAATTTATTCTCATGTTCGTATCCAATTATGATTTATTGAGATGAGAGAATCAGAATTATCCCCCCAGCTCATATTTTGTACTTGGTAGACTCAGTTAGATTGTTTATAGCTTTTAAGATGAGATAGATATACGAACATACGTTAATTACATATATATATATATATTTATAAATTATGGTTCCGTTTTTTTTTTCAGGTATAACGCCAAAAGGAACTAAAAAATAAATTTTATAGCGAAAAGCACCTGATAATAATATTCCCCAGCTTATCAAGGCCCTTTGTGGTAGTGGCTGTTATAGCTTGGTTTGCAAATGACGTATTTGTTTATTCAAACTATACTTATTGACAAAACAAACAGGAACAAGCCAGGACTTTGGTGGCCAAAAATAAATTCTCTTTATTAGTAGTGCTTTGTTCAGTTCTAGGTATAGTTTAAATAGAACTAGATTTGCGCAAAACTTGGAAGATGTGTATACCAAGAGCATTCCTTGTACGCGGATGCTTAAATGGCGTTTATAAAGATACAGTCAACACGGAAGTCATACAAGATAAATCATAGTTTCACACAATAAAGTTTTTTTTATAAGTCGAATTGTATTTTCTAGAACAAAATTTGATGTATCTCACAAACGCATGCCTCGAGATTTATTCTCTAAAATCGAATTCATAATCCAATGTTAACTGTTGAAGTGCTGAAGAAACCTTTTATTTTCATTCTCGTCGTCTGCGATCCCGGAGTATACAAAATACGACTGGATAGTGGATACGATATTATTGACGTTTTTATTGGCTTCGAATTATTAATTATGAATAAATGACTACGCAAAACTTCAAATCCAATTCAATATCAGCGAGAAAAGCTAATTTGATTGAATTGACTGAAGTGTTAGAGCTGCAATTTGTAGAGTACGATTGGAAGAAAAATCGCGTAGGTGAAATGAATCCTGCAAGAACAAAGAAATGTCGATTTGTTTTTAAATAAGATTTATATGTAAAACGTCATGTGGTATAAAACATTTTTTTTGCTATGATATATAGATATCCCATACTCTCAAATGCTTTTATTCTTATTATAAATAGGGAACAGACGGCAACGATAAGGCTTACGTCATGCTTTGTTGATCCGCAAGTAGTTCCCGATGTAATATTTGAACTATCCCACTCCAGTTCGGCTATCTAATCATGAGTTTGTTGTTCAAATTTGGTGTCATTTTGAACGTTTTAACTTTCACTTTCTTTCAACGATGGACACCACGATGACAATTGAAATGTGTGAAATCAACAATACAACTCATATATAGTAATTCCTAATTACATTTTAAATACTATCATAATTCGACAATTATATTGTAACTCATGTTTTACCATTGCTTGTGAACAAAATGACATCAGATTTAGTTTCAAGATTCAAACAAGATCTCGAATTCTATCTACTCAACTTTGTCAAATAAGTAGCAAATTTTACATCAATTAATTTGAACATTTAGAAAGTTTGCAATAACAAAATGTGAATGATATTCAACATATTCATGCTGTTTACCCACCTGCTTCAATAAACAATCAATTTTAATGACATGAAAATTGTAATATAATTTCATTCGTAGTATTTAGAAATTTATTGACATCAAAATCAACAACCACTGACATTGCTTAGGCAATTTATAATATGATAATTATCAATTAAAGCATTGTATAAATACCATTACCTAGAACCTATCCCACGCATCCACCCACGCGTGTATCAATCAAATCACCAAAGCCTATCGTACCAGAGAATTACCTCTTTTACTCTTTTACTACTATATATCAAAAAGAAAAAATTTAAATTTTTTTGAACATCAACAATAAAATACCAAGTCTTGTCATTGCACAAACAAATGACTTGTTTGCACTCTGCACCGTAACAAATTTTTGGAGGATGCCCGTGGGGAATCCCCTGGTAATGTGCAAACGATCGATGATATATAACGGGGATAGCGCTTCGGTAAACACATACCAGAGAATTCATTTCAGCGACTTTTGTCAGCAAATTTTACGATTCAATTCAAAAATGCATTCCTGCATTTCAAGTATTCAATAGTTTAGTATTTCTGCAACCTGGATTTTCTACTGCACCTAAAAATTCCAAAGTTAACAACGTTTATTGGCAAGAAGCAACATCTAAGCAAAAATCATTATGGAAAATCTTATACAGAATCGTCAGAGATTACCTAATTCACGAGGAGCAGATCTACCAATATCCGATTGTTCTCAGTCAATGAGGGGGCATTTTGATATTGGAAATGAACTTGAGTCCAATGAAGATGACGATGAAGGTAAATGCTTATTATAACATATGCATAAATGAATGAAATAGATGTAAATGCTGTACTGGAAATGAATCAAATGCCAAATATGAGTGATTATAATACTGTTGTTATTCATCATTTTAGATATTTTGAAGCGTTATTCCAATAGATAATATAGTAAGTGGTATATATGGGTGTAACTACTTGATGACAATATTGTAATACAACTCAAAATACACCACAAAACAACTTAGTTACAACTGGGTTGGAAACAAAGTTGTCCACTACAAACTACGCGATGATATTTCATCGTTGTTTATTCTTCTTCTGAGTTTTCTTCCTTACTTTAAAATGCAGACGGTATAGCGGAAATCGGTGCTACCAATGGGACAGAGGCCGATGGAATCCGACACGAAAATGCAGTAGATCCGCCTGGTTAGTAAATTTGATTACATTGTTGTAAAGTGCTGTGCTGCATAATTGATTTTATATGAATTTCCTTTTTGAGTAAAATTTAAGCATTAACAAGAGTTTTCTTTCATGTTATTGCGAAACGTTCTTGTCTTGAATACACATTGTTATTCATTTGTATCACGCGCCTCAAGCGTGCACTTGTGATCGTGGCGACAGTTCAAAGAATAAAAGATTGATCAAACAATGTGGTTGTTATGTGGCACACTCACGCTACGCCCCGGGCAAATCTAAATATTTAAAACTTACATATCCTCGAACAAAAATAATAATGGTCGATATTGAAGTATAAGTATAAAAATTCAGTGAAATTAATATTAGTAAACAAATTATAATTATTAAACCTGATTACAAGATAAACTGATCTTGTATGTAAAAGCTTGTTCTATGTAAAAGTTATATGAAAACTTAGACTCTTTATTTCAAGTAAAAATCGAAATGAAACAATTCAATAGTTAACTGCAGCCTACCTGTATGTTCTCATATAATATAATTTGCACCATAATTCTTTTAGCATTTCACACGTATGATGAATGCACTTAAAAAATCGTTTTTTTCAAAAGCTTGTTGACTGCTTCATATATTCATTTGTTGAATAGTGTGGGCTTATTGAACACAAAATGTAAACTATATGCTCGAATTAGATGTCGGTTATATTCTCGCTAGATTCGCAATGAATGACACATTTGTTTCATTTTAAAATATTTACTCTTAATTGAAGACCAAAATCCGCAACATCTAGATCACTTCCGATGAGGAGGTAACTATTGTGACCAGGATATGAAAAATACTCATCGCAAGTGCAAATTGTATCTAGTATTGACGTTGCAATTTCTTTTTTTTTTTCTGAAAGAAAATATATTAGTATTCAAGAATTTTGAAATAGTTAGAGCTAGAATCTTTATTTCACCAGGACAAGGATCTGTATATATAACATCAGGAGACCACTGGAAAGAAGATTATAGACTTGCTACATTTGCAAAATTTCCAATAGGTTCAGCTGTTTATCCAGCAGAATTAGCATCATCGGGATTCTATTATACAGGACATAGAGATAGAGTAAAATGCTTCAGGTGGGATATTTTTAAGGGCTAACGATTTGACTGAATGCTCACAAAAAATTTGAAATTGATTACAACTTTTTTTGTGTGTTTCTCATTAATAATGAAACGCCGAGTATGCGCATTGTAATATTTAAACTTATTTTAAAAGTAAAATTTGTTGCTGCCGTATATTAAGTTTAAAGCAAAGAATTAAGAATAAATATGTATTGGAGACATTTCTTGACAATGATCTGTTCTTGCTTAAAATCAATAATGTGTTCGAACTATTTAAGTGACTTTGCGGTGTTTTGTAGTCAGTTACTAGTATATATATATATATATTCCCAAGCAATGGCCACAAATATCAGCACTGTTTTTCTTTGAATTTACAAATTATATAACAAAACTTATCCTACGTCACCGCATTGACAATTTCAGCTGTGGAATCGCAGTAGAAAACTGGACCATTGGCGACGTCGGACGAGATCCTGTGTGGCACACAAGAGATTGTCTAATGGTTAACGGAAGAGAAGAATCCAACGTTCCTCGCGAATTTTTCAGATATCAAACCACAACGTCAAATGACAAATAATACTGGAGGAACAGGGGTTTCCAATCCTGCGAGCGCGGTAAG